TGTCAGTATCTTTGAAGTGCATTGTTTTCCTTCGGTTATGGTTGATCTTGGGTTGAGAACTTGTTCATGTCGAAAATGGGAAATAAATGGGTATCCATGTCAATATGCTGTTGCTGCAATTTTTAGAAGTGGAAAGAATTTGAATTCATTTGTTGCACCATTTTTTCATACTGATATGTATCGTCAAGCATACTCGTTTTCGATTGGCCCAGTTCCAACTGTTGAAAAACCTGTGTGTAGCATTGATATTGCTATGATTTTACCTCCATTGAGTAAATAATAAACTCATATTCCATGTCCTCCCATCCATGAAAGCCTTCTCCAATACACTATCCATACGAGGACAGAGAACTTTATTCCATTTACTAGAGAGCAGCCTCCTATCAGACCTCATATTCATGATTTGCAACCGTATCATGTACACCAAATTTGTTATTGGCAAGTGCCGAGCTTCTCGTATCCATAAATTGAATGACTCAGCAACATTTGAATACATCTCACCATAACGTTTCCCCTCAAAATATGCATCACTCCAATTTTTATATGGTAAACTTCTCAAGAAAACACTCACAATGTCTCATCCCTCACTTTTTGATTCGTTTAACTTGAAATGGAATGATGCCTTTGTTGGCGCATATGCACATTCTAAAAACTTGGACACAATCGTCTTCCTAACCAAATTTGTGTTTTCACTTGACAACCTATCCCTCAAATTTCTCTTTTGATGTTCAAGACAAAATCCATGAAAGCAATTAGGGAAAAACCTAGCAATTCCTTCCACAATACCACAATGTCGATCTGATATGAAACTTATCACCCTCTCCGATCCCATACTTCACATAAATGTTCAAGGAACCAACACCAATTGTCTTTATTCTCAGCATCAACAATAGCAAAAGCTATAGGGAAAAAACCTACAAAACAAATAAGAGCAAGCATATTAGATATACCCATGTAGAAAAAAATTAGAACAATAAACAACCAGAGAAAATTGACACTGCCAACATCTAAAGAAACTTCACACAATGGCCAAATCCAGAGAAAATTCACTTAGTAACCAACTCCAGAGAAAATTCACACATTGGCAACATCCAGAGAAAATTCAATAAGTGACCAACTACAGAGAAAATTCACACAATGACAATATCCAAAGAAAATTCACCTAGTAACCAACTACAGATAAAATTCACACAATGACAACATTCAGAGAAAATTCACACACTGACCAAAATCTAGAGAAAATTCACACAATGGCCACAAACAGAGAAAATTCACACAGTGGCCAAAACCAGAGAAAATTCAGAGTGTCAAAGAAAAATCATATTCACTCAATTCCTACATGTATAGAAAATTCACATAACTTAAATAAAATAAGATATATTTACAATTACCTTCATTCTCATCTTTCTCTGTCGCCGCAAGCATAACCCCTTTGTATCGTCCTTTCAAAAATGTTCCATCAAGAAACAGTAATGACCAACAATATTTGAAACCAGTAATGCATGCATGAAAAGCCACAAACACTCTTTTGAAATGCTTGTTATCTTCAAAATCTAACTCAAAACGACTACCTGGATTATTCTTTAATGCCTCATCAAAATACCACCTAATTGATCGAATGACAAACAAGAATCCCCTTATGTACTACATTTTGCTTTTTCAACCCCCACAACCACAGTTATAACTGATTGAGACCCCATACTTTTCTTTCGTTTCTTTGACAACATCCACTGAACGAGTTAAAGGCTTTGCACTCACCTCTTCAAGTATCAGCCCAGAAAGTAAGCTGGAAGTCATCCTATAATGTTTACTAGTACGAACCGCCACACCACACGTATGCTCATTGTTCAAAGTTCTTATGTAAAAGAACTCATTTGTTTTTTCAACAGAAGCATGTACACACCACACACATCTCCTTGATTCTTTATATGCACATTCTGCTGTAACCCTCAACTTGTCATTTTTAACATATGTAAACTGAAAACCAACCTCAATAGCATACTTGCATAAAATAGTACGGAACTCAACCACATCACCCTTAAACTTTTGTCCAACACTCGTAATATTAATTCTTCAACCAGCTGACAATAACACCTTTTCTTGGTGAGAACAAAACTTAAAGAGTGAATTATTTTCAATATCCACCAGCCTATCACATTCACCATGCACAACATCTACCCAATTAGACCTCACTGCATCCTCTTGATCAGAAGTACTACACCTAATAACTGAAACATCAACTATATCAACACCACGTGCACAAACAACCCTCAACATATTCAGAAAATTAATATTATTTCGAATCATACAATTCAGATGGCCCACAATAGAATATGAAATACATATCGTCTCAGGTTTCAAATTCTCTTATGTTTTACAAAAAATGCCAACCAATTCCTCAAAATTCAATTCGCATGAAACATTAATGATAATAGTATCATTTCCATATTTGCACAGCAACAACACTGTACTGTCCATCGAAACTGAAAGAAAAAACAAGAAAATTAATTTGTTCAATATAAAAACACTTCACAAGAACAACATAAAAGTCCAGAGAAATTTCAAATAATTATATTTTTCTCTGAATTATAACAACAAGCTTATAATTTAACAAATTACAATTTTCTCTGTGATTTTCACTGGACTACAAACTTACAATTTTCTCTGTGATTTTCACTGAACTACAAATTTACAATTTTCTCTGTGATTTTCACTGGACTACAAACTTACAATTTTCTCTGTGATTTTCACTGAACTACAAACTTACAATTTTCTCTGAGATTCTATCTGCATTAGAAACTTCTAATAATATGTCCATATAAACATATAATTTTCGCTGTGATTTTTGTTGAATTATAATAACAAACTTACAATTTTCTCTGGACTATACCAACAAAAATGCAGAGAATGAAATTTTTCTGGTTTAAAGAAATTTCTCTGGTTTGAAAAAAATAGAAAACAAAACTTATCATTAATCAGCATGTTGATGAAAAACAGAACACCAAAAATAAACTCTAAACATCAAAATCAACTACACTGTCAACTCTCTTTGAAAAATGAACTACAAACTTACAATTTTCTCTAAGATTCTATCTGCATTAGAAACTTCTAAAAATATGTCCATATGAACTTATAATTTTCTCTGTGATTTTCGTTGGATTATAATAACAAACTTACAATTTTCTCTGGACTATACCAACAAAAATGCAGAGAATGAAATTTTTCTGGTTTAAAGAAATTTCTCTGGTTTGAAAAAAATAGAATCATTAATCAGCATGTAATCAGCATGTTGATGAAAAACAGAACACCAAAAATAAACTCTAAACATCAAAATCAACTACACTGTCAACTCTCTTTGAAAAATGAACTACAAACTTACAATTTTCTCTAAGATTCTATCTGCATTAGAAACTTCTAAAAATATGTCCATATGAACTTATAATTTTCTCTGTGATTTTCGTTGGATTATAATAACAAACTTACAATTTTCTCTGGACTATACCAACAAAAGTGCAGAGAATGAAATTTCTTTGGTTTAAAGAAATTTCTCTAGAGAACAAAACTTATCATTGATCAGCATGTTGATGAAAAACAGAGCACCAAAAATGAACTCTAAACATCAAAATCAACTACACTGTCAACTCTCTTTGAAAAATGAACTGCAAACTTACAATTTTCTCTGAGATTCTATCTGCATTAGAAACTTCTAAAAATATGTCCATATGAACTTATAATTTTCTCTGTGATTTTCGTTGGATTATAATAACAAACTTACAATTTTCTCTAGACTATACCAACAAAAGTGCAGAGAATGAAATTTCTCTAGTTTAAAGAAATTTCTCTGGTTTGAAAAAATAGAGAACAAAACTTATCATTGATCAACATGTTGATGAAAAATAGTGCACCAAAAATGAACTCTAAATATCAAAATCAACTACACTGTCAATTCTCTTTGAAATTAATCAAAAAATAAAGAATGAAAAATGATCTCCAAAAATCAAAATCAATTTTATCAAGCTGGCCTCTCTTTAAAATTGATCAATAACAGAGAATGAAAAATCAACTCCAAAAATCATAAACAATTTCACTAAGCTAGCCTATCTCTTAAATTGATCAAAACTGAAAACAAAAACTTAATGCAAAAATGCACTTGAAAAACTAATACGAAATCGGAATCCTTACATAAAATTCAAATAAAAAATCAAAATCCATGTGGAATCTCCATCGAAAACATACCTGATTCAACTCCATTAAAAAACCTACACGATCAACACACTATAACACCTACATGATCGTAGCAATCTCTATGTCAAGTCCAGTACAACACTTGCAAAATCCCTACGAAATCTCCACCACGAAGTCAGTTTTCAAAATCTCCACCGTAAAGTCAACAATAGAATATTTAGTTTGCCAAAATCCAAACAAACTTGTGTTATAAAGAAGAGTAAATTAGGTATTTTATAACTTAAAATAAGGTTGAGGGACCTTAACCATTAAAATATATTATTGTGGACTTCTCCTCCTATTAAAAGTTAGGGTGAGATCTTAGATCAATTTTTTTTATTATTTAATAAATTGAATTTTTCTACAATTTTTTTTTTTTTTTTTGATATTTGGAATTTAAATATTCAGACAGTATTGGTATGTCAAAGAGCTAAATCTATTTATTACATTATTGTTTTTACACATTTTCCAATAAAAAATAAAAAATTAATTACAATAGTGAGAATTACCAAATCGGCTCACTGTTATTACAGGGGATTGTGGAAGACAGACAGACGATGGTCACTCACACAACAAGTCGAAACATATACAGTTGCTATCGTTTTGTGCGGTCTCCTAAAAAGCAAAGTATAAAATGTAATAATAATCACGACAATGATAGATTCGAGTATTAATTGAATTTTAGTGAGGTAAAAAAAATTCAAAATCAAAACATTACCGATGAATCTCACATATTAGATAATATAGCTCACAAATTAGGTTTTCAAAACAATTTTTTGTTTTTTTTAATGATCAGAAAGTGCTTTCTAAAACCATCTTTCTATTTTTGCTTTCTGGCGGGAACAAACAAACCCACCACCTAACCTAGAAATCCCTGAATTCGATTCATATCTCTGCTCCCATTTTTCCTTTCTAAGACATCACAATACCCACAAACCATGTACTGGTTAACAGCCAAAACCGTCGTCGTTTCGGCTCCTCGCTGGCGCCCTCTCTCCCTCCTCCTCCGTTCCCCTCTTCATCGCCGTGCTTTTACCTCCTCTCCTCCCTTACTGTAATATCTCTCTCTCTCTCTCTTTCTCTCTCTCTCTCTCTCTCTCTATATATATATATATAGTAATGCCTATACATGCACGAACAGTAGTGAAATACTATATCCTATACTCACTTTTTATGGGTTTTGATTTGATATAAAGAATGAGTCTTTATCTTCATAAATATGGTGGGTCGCTCTGTTTCTCTTACTCTGTTATGCTAACTTTTGTAATACAGTGGTAGAAAGCTTAATACATCTCTGATTCCGCTGCAAATTTGGGTTTTTTATATTTGAACATAAGGGTTCAATGAACTGTGAGTTGATTGTTAATATGCAATTTAAGTACTTTTAACATTCATGCTCAATGTTTTCTTGTACAGTTCTTTTACCAAATAAATTAAGAAAAACAAGAAAAAAAATGGCACCTACAATTTATGCATTGTTGTGTCATCTAATGCACTGGGTTTCTTTAGAAACGTACAAAGGAAATCTGATTGTATCATCCGTCATGAATGCCAACCAGGCATGATTGCGGGTAAAATTTTCAGAAAATTATCCAATTTCCTTAAATGCATGATGGTGCATTGTGTTACTTCATTTCGTGGATTTATTGTCCCTGTAATGTTGAATTAAACTCATTAACCTCGAGAGCATGAATTCCCAAACCCCTTGGTAGTACCAATTTTGAAATTTCCTTCAAGACTCACCATGGTTTGAAATGACCGTCCCCTTGGTAGTACCAGTTATGAAATTTCCTTCAAGACTCGCCATGGTTTGAAAAGACCGTCTTTCCTCTTCAACTGCTTCAGTCTCATCCTCTGGATACTCATCATATATAGGAGGTAAATCCCAAACAATTTATGGTTGCAATAAAGATGGACCTGTGTTTGTGAATATGTTATCAAACTCTTCATTTAAAAACCTCATCTTCAGATTCATTAGCAGTAGTCCAACCACCACGTGCTCCTCGTCATGACTATGTGCCATGGGCAGGATTTGAGCGCAAGCTCTGATACCAACTGATGCAAGGAAACTTGTAATCAAGATTGTTAGGATCGTGATCCGGATTGTAGGATCGTACAATCCTACGATCCAATAAATACCAGTCAATCTGACTCGTATTTTGGATTAGGCCCATGTCAGGATCGTGGTAGGATTGTAACAAGATCGCTATTCCATGCGATCCTGTTTAATTGGGTTTTTTTGGCTGCCTTCAAGCCAAATAGACCTTTATCGGGATAAAAGAAGGATAAAAGAGGAACCTCTGAGCTGCGATTAGGGCAAGACAAATTGTGGAAAGAGAAATTGGACATCAAACTTCAGATTGTGTAACAACCAACCAGGTATGCTCTTCGAATCTTCCTTCTTTTTCTTTTTTTTTGTGGCTTTTTTCTTTCTTCTTCGCTGCTCTTCTTTTTCTTCGCTTGCTCTTCTTCTTCTTCTCTGTAGTTCGAATCACTATTCTTCTTCTTCTTCTTCTTCTTCACCTGACTTCTTCGATGTCGTTCGACTTCTTTTTCTTCCCTTGTTGTTCTGTTTCTATTTGTATATTATATAATATATAATCTCTGTTATTAGAATCTTACAATTCGCGATTCGACTTACGATTCGTGATTCAATTCACGATTCGATTTGAATTTTTTGCAAAATTGATACGAATCTATAGGTGAATCTATTTTAGAAGTAAATCTCTAATGAATCGCACGATTCACAATCGATTTACGATTCGATTTACTTTTTATGATTCAAGCAAATTTTTAAATTATTGTGTCCAACATATTTTCGATTCTTTCCTTCTCCATCTTTTTAGTAAAAATGACATAATACAACTTCTAATAGCGTTTAATACCAAAATAACCAACATATATACATGATTTGTTGTTAATTTAGTGATTATGAAGTTTTTAATAGGATCTAATCAGATTCAATCAGACCCAACATATTTTTAACATTTCTTCTCATTTTTTTTATTCTTTTTAAAAAATATAATATATCTTCTAAAGATGTTTAAGATTAACGTTACACTATAAATTATCTATTACTATTTTATTAAATTGAATATTACATGTGTAAAGTCAGTTATACCTTGAAAATGTTTTAGGCTTTAAAATAAAAGATTCTAAATAATTTTTTCTTATTATTTGCTCACTGTTACTTAGAAAAATATGTATGCTTATTGTCCAATTATCAATACCGTTGTTAGTTATTGTTACTTTGGATATTGATAATTTGTCTATTTGGTTATTATCTTTATTAAGAATGATTGATAAGAAATATCTTAAAAAAAAAAAAAAGTAAGATGGTGATCTTACATAGGAACCTTTGTTGACTTCTTACCTATTAAACTATGTGATTATCTTTCAAAATAACATTTTCATTGATTTAAGTCTAAATATTTCATATTCATAAGATATATTTAACATCTAAATGTATAAATATATGTTTTTAAGTAATTTAGAAAAAGCGACTAAATCTTTACGATTCACGATTCGATTTGATTCGCGATTCGGTACAAGGCCATTTCGATTCATGATACGAATCTCGATTTAACAACTATGTATAATATATATATATATATATATATTTATGTGTGAATGAAAACCAAAAATTTGATTGAAACTCTTCTCTCTTTTTATCCCTATCTGTTTCTTCATTTTTTCTACTTCTTTTTTCTTCTTCATTTTTCTTGGTTCTTCTTTGCTGCTGCTGTTGCTATTTTTCTTTGGTTCTTTTTTCTTGAACTTTGTTGGAAAAAAATTCTTTTTATACCAATTTTCCCTCTTTTGCCTAAACTTACTTGTCACAATTTGCAGTACACAACTAATGCCATAACACAATGTTAGCGTTTGGTTCAGGAAGAGGGAGGAAGAGAAAAAATGCTGCTGGCCACAAATCTGATCCCGGTTGGGAACATGGCATTGAAGTAGATGCAGTTTCCAAGAAGGTAAAATGCAAGTATTGTAATGTTACTTGTTCTGGAGGAATATTTAGATTAAAACACCATTTGGCATGCACTCGTCAAAATGTTGAACCATCTCCCCAAGTTCCTGAAGATGTTAGAGAAAAATTTATGAGTTTTTTAAGAACTCAAACATTAGAGTCTCAAAATAAGAAAAGGAGGATGCTTGATATTGGTGATGATGATTCTGAAGAAGAAAAAGTGGAATCATTGCATGCTGGCCATCAAAACAAATAAAAACATTATGGGGGGTATAGATAAATTTGTGGTGAAAAAGTCTTGGTATCAAAATCAAAAAACTATCAATCAAATGTTTAAGAAAGAAGAGAGAGATGATGTTTGTCAAACAATTGTCTGGTTTTTTTTACACTAGTGCAATTCCTTTTAATTGTGTCAACAACCCTATATTTCTACTAATGGTTAAGAAAATTGGAGATTATGGAAAAGGCGTTTCGCAACCATCTTACCATTAAATTAGGGTGACTTTTTTGAAAAAAAGAAGTGCATGAGACATTGCAAGTACTAGACGAGTTTAAGGAACAATGGAAAAAGACCGTGTGTGCAATTATGTCCAATGGATGATTGGATAGAAAGAGAAGGTCAATTTGTAATTTTCTTGTCAATAGCCCTAATGGAACTATCTTTCTATCATCATTGGATACATCTAACATTTCAAAAACTAGTGAAAAGGTTTTTGAGATGTTGATGAGGTTGTTGAGAAGGTTGGAGTGGAACACGTCGTACAAGTGATGACAGATAATGCTTCTAATTATAAGTTGGTGAGAGAAATGTTAATGGATAAGAAGGATTACCTGTGGCCAACTTATAATTAGAAGCATTGGTCTGTCAACTTATTAACATTTCTCCTGCGTAACTTGTAATTAGAAGCATTGTTTTGTCACCACTGCACGACATGGTTCCTCCAACCTTTCTCAACAACCTCATCCAACAATTTCAAAAACTTTCACCAAGTTTTGAAATGTTAGAGTATCCAATGATGATAGAAAAGATAGTTCCATTAGCTATTGACAAGAAATTACAAAATTGACCTTCTCTTCTTATCCAATCATCCATTGGACATAATTGCACACACGGTCTTTTTCCATTGTTCCTTAAACTCGTCTGAGTACTTGCAATGTCTCATGCACTTCTTTTTTTCAAAAAAGTCACCTAATTTAATGGTAAGATGTTGGCACAGGGCCTTTTCGATTAGCCTAATTTTCTTAACCATAAGTGGAAAAATATAGGGTTGTTGAACACAATTAAAGGAATTACACTAGTGTAAAAAATTGGGCAATTATTTGACAAATATCATCTCTTCTTCTTTCTTAAACATATTGATTCATAGTTTTTTTGATTTTGGTGCTTGAGATTTCTTCACTACAAATTTATCCATAGCCCCAATATGTTTTTTATTTGTTTTGATGGCTATGATGCAATGCGTTCCACTTTTTCTTCTTTAGAATCATCATCACCAATATCAAGCATCCTCCTTCTCTTATTTTGAGCACTTAAGTTTTGAGTCTTAAAAGACTCATATAATTTTTCTCTAACATCTTCAAGAACTTGGGGACATGGTTCAACATTTTGATGAGTGCATGCCAAATGTGTTTTAATCTAAATATTCTTCCAGAACGAGTAACGTTACAATACTTGCATTTTACCTTTTTAGAAACAGCATCTACTTTAATGCCATGTTCCCAATCGGATCAGATCATGTGGCCGGCAACATTTTTTCTCTTCCTCCCGCTTCTTGAACCAGAGGCTGACTTGTGTTGTATGTGTAGATGCTTAGTGGTGTTGCAAATTGTGACAAAATAAGTTAGGCAAAAGAGGGGAAAATTGGTATAAATACGATTTTTTTTTGTTTCCCAGCAAAGTTAGCGAAAAAAAGAAAAAAAGAGATAGTAGCCAGCAAAGAAGAACCAAGAAAAATGAAGAAAAAAAAAGTAGAAAAATGATAGAAACATAAAGAGAGAAAAAAAAAGAAGCAAGAATGTTTCAATTGAAGTTTTGGTTTTCATTCACACAAAAAATATATATAAATACATATGTATATTAGTATATAATATACAAACAGAAACAGAATAACAAGGGAGAAAAAAGAAGTCGAACTACATCGAAGAAGGAAGTCAAGTGAAGAAAACAGATGGTGAAGAAGGCAAAGAATCGAACACATAGAAGAAGAAATTGTGATTCGAACTACAGAGAAGATCAAAGAAGAAGAGAAGAGCAAGCGATAGAAAAAGAAGAGCTGCAAAGAAGAAGAAAAAAAGCCAAAAAAAAAAAAAAAAAAAAGAAGAGAAGAAAGATTCGAAGAGCATACTGGTTGGTTGTTACACAAAATTTGAAATTTAATGTCCAATTTCTCTTGCCCTAATCGCATCTCAGAGGTTCCTCTTTTTTCCTTCTTTTATCCCGATAAAGGTCTAGTTGACTTGAAGGCAGCCAAAAAAATCCAATTAAATAGGAACGCATGGAATCGCGATCCTGTTACGATCCTACCACAATCTTGACATGGGCCCGATCCAAAATACGAGTTGGATCGAATGGTATTTATTCTGGATCGCGATCTTAACAACCTTGACACAAACATACTTCCTAGCCGTAAATAGGCATCAACAATGGTTGATTCAAACATAATATCTAAAGTTGGAGAAAGAGTAAATAACTTCAATTTTTGTTAATCATCAAAAGTTGTTGAGACCTAAGGCTTACATTGTTGTTTATAATAAACTAAACCTAATTCTGGTAGAATAAAAAAAGCATAAAATAGGAAAACTAAATCAACACAATTTTGAAAACTTATTAATTTTAAGCTATTTCATATTGAACCAAATATACCTAATCAAAATACTAATTCCAAAAAATAATAAAATTTTAAAATTAAAGATTTCTTAAAAATCTCAATTGCATCATTAGAGCTACTATATCTTCTACAAATAATGAAATGTTGCAATATCAGCATTTCACCTCCTTTTTGAATTCATTCTTTATAAGGTATTAAGGGTTAGATTTTGGTTAAAAGAATTTTTTTTGATTGTGTTCCCCATAACTTCTTGTCATATTTGATTTCTGATTTTCTTTTAGCAGACTTAGGATTCGATTTTATATTATTTTATGTTTATTCATTGCAGTATCAGACAGTGTGAACGGATTCATTGCTTGAAAGAACGAAAACTTTTTAAAGGGACCACAAAAGCGACCAGGAAACTTAGAGAATTGAACAATGTCCTTGATAAGGATCATTCTCATATTCTGTGGTGGAAGGAGGTGCACTAGATGACTGAATCTTGTTGAGTTTTCCATGAGCTGATAATTGGAATTCTAGACTATGACTGACATTCTTTTTGTATACTCGTATATATATTGATGTTTCTTGCTGCAGAGGATGCAGTTGTGTAGAAAGCCTTCTTCTATGCAACTAATTAAAAGGCTCATGTACACTAATTTACTAGGGTTGGATGTTAACTTGAAAAATGGAAGGTGAGCTCATAATCATGTTAAGGTTAGCAGTGAACTCTGTTTTGATTTCCTTCGAAAGAGGTGTTTTCTGTGTTTTTTATTTTTATTTTTATTTTTTTATTTAAATTTTGTATTTGCATCATTTTACTTCAAAAATAATGGAGAAAATAGTCTTAAATGGTTTGTATAATCTCTACAAATATTAGTCACTATATGTGCTCTTTAGGTACACTACTTCTATTTGATCTGGTGCAAATGTATAAAATGCAATGCCTCTTTTCCCTCATGGATTTAAATCATTTAATGACTGGGATCTTTGTAGTAGAGGTGGCCATATAGGGGGATGCATCTAATTCATCACAATGATCAATTTCTAAAACCTTACAATAGAGTTACATAACTAAATCATCATGATATTCAATTTTCCTTTGTGTATGGTTTTTATTTATATGTCCATGTAACTTGGTGTCTTTGACGCTAACACTTTTGCTCATTTTGAAATAGTCTTGATATTGTAATTCTTCAAAAAAAAAAAAAATTCAAAAGTTTGACAGGATATTAATTACGAGTATTTGGGGGCTAAATTGTGTTGTAATAAAAAGTATGGACGTAGACATGTAACATAGCACAGACATGACACAAACACGCTAATGCCGAGATTTAAAACAATACACGTGGGGGTCACACAAAATGTAGTTTTAAATATTTAATGTATCATAACCAAACCAAACCAAACCAAATTAAATTAAGCCTTAAGTCCCATCAAATAGGGTCGGCTACATGAATTATTCTTCTCTGCTTAACTCTTTCGGTGGCCATTTGGTTAATCAAATTCAGTAAATATTTCTAACGATTAAATAAGGACAGATTGATAGGTTTAAATCTACATTGTTTTCTTTTATCAGTAAATCTCAAATTATTTTATTTAAACTTGTAATGTGTTTCACTTGTGTCTAAAAGATGGGCACGTGTGTCCTCCAAGGGTCCAAAGCATGTCCAAGTCTTTTTTTTCTTTTATTTATAAAAATAACAAGACATGTTTTGGATGTGTGTTCATGTGTCGGAAGTGTTTGATGATGCTGTCATGCCACCTTTGAGAAGTATTAGGAGAATTTATAGTGCCGGTGAGATTTGCAAATCTTGATGGGTTGGAGTGGTGGTTATTGGGTTTATATGGTCCCATTAGTCCAAGTTTGAGAAAGTCTTTATGGGAAGAATTTGGCAGTCTCTTTGGGTTAACTTGCCATAATTGGTGCTTGGGTGTGGGGATACTTTCTGATATAAACAATTTCTTTACTTTGGTTTTTAGATAGATTCTTTGCTTATCTCTTTAGCAGGCAATCAACCAATACATTCAATGTGACCAATGAGAAATGTTAAAAATCCGTTCTCTAATCAATTCAATCATATAACAAAACATTTCTACGGGATTGAATGCACAAAACTCGTCCGTCTCCTTTCTTGTGCAGCCAGACGTGCATGAATGCACAAAAGTCACTTCTTGAGATTATTTTTCTTTTTAAATTTAAATTTATGCATGTTTATTCTTTGTTTGATGTAGTCTAAAAGAAGGAACACTTAACTGGGAGATTTTGCAGTTCAAGTCAAAATTTCCTCGTGAAGCTTTGCTCTGCAGGGTATGTCATTTTCATTTCCATTACTCCTATCCTTGCTTTACATATCTCTTTATTCTGATTTCCCTCATTGAAAGTTCTCATGCCTTTGGTTTCTGTGGTTTCTGTTATACTTTTGATCTTCACCTTAGGTTGATAAACAATGGGGGCCGCAAGTTATTTGTCTTTTCTTTTCCAGGTTGGGGATTTTTATGAAGCTATTGGGATTGATGCTTGTATTTTAGTGGAATATGCTGGTTTGAATCCTTTTGGTGGGTTGCGTTCAGACAGTATTCCAAGAGCTGGCTGCCCTGTCGTGGTATGTTATGTTATGTAATGGAATATGTTGTGTGTTTTCCCTCGTTAAAGACTAAAACCTTCTTTGACATTTGCACTCATGGCATGGAGATGCATTATTTAATTATGCATTTGGGAAATGTTCTTTGGCCACAGTTGGTGGCTGAGAAATCAATTTAATATCTCCTCCAGATTGAGTGTGTTGCAAGGTGTGGGAAACATGACATCTGCAAAAAACCTTGGCAAATGTGGCCATGGAGGGCACACTGTTTCTCCAATTTGTGAATTTGAGACAAATTTGTAGTAAATTCACAAACTGTTATGGTCAATTCATGAAGTGGCTGTTTCATGAGCGGGAATTCATTTTTGCTCTTCTTGGTAAAGTTTTTGACTTTGACTTTGACTTTGACTAGGTTTTCTAGTTGACTGTCATGGGCAATATCGTTTTTCACCATTTTAATTGGGATTGTGGTGCACTACCATGCACTTTGTCCTCTCTCCTTGACTACCTTTTTATGGTGGATTGGCATGTACCTTGCACATGTACCCCATTTATAGTTGTTTGCATGTGTCACACAAATTAAGGGTATGACAACATGGAAAGGTATTAAAATGGTATAGCATGAGAATTGAGCCCGACACTTTTCACAAGGTCATATAAACCATGACTTGCTAAACTAAAATAATTTTTTTATTGTTTAAGAACTGTGTTTTAAGCTAATTATTAAAATAGAATTGGTGAGCTTTACCTGTATGTGCTTAGTATTTTAACTTTATACAGCTGGTCCCAAGCCCAAATAAAGGAGGGTTGTGATATAGGTAACTATCAGCTAGTGTAAAAAAAATTCAGATATTGTTTCCAAACTAACCAAAACAATATGCTGAAACGAAATTTTGATCCTCATTCCCTCTGCAATAGCTCTACAGAAATATGTGTGTAGATACAATGTTTTATGTACATAATTATATTTTTTCCTGAACTTTCTCTTTGATAGCAGATGCTTTATTGTTGATTGTTTAAATGCTTCTTATGCAGAATCTACGACAAACTTTGGATGATCTCACGCGTAATGGGTATTCAGTTGTGAGTAATATTCTCTTATGCTGCTGTAAAATAGTATTTAATGTACGTATAAAGTTGGATGTTTAGCTTGGGTAATTACCTAAACCTGACTAAATCCAAATTAATAACATATTTCATTTGGCATTAATGACACTTTCTAAATCCTTACCATGTTGCTACGCTATGTTATATTATCCCTCATGGGTAATTTTTTTTTTTTTTTCAGCATTATTAGCATAAATATAAATATAATGCCATGTGGGAGAAGCCCTAGATTGCCATCCATTGCATGGTCTCTCTCTCAAACACACACACACACGGATGCACACACAAAATTTCTATCTCCTTAAAAGGGTCAGGATCACACACATTTGTATGTGCACCACTTCATTGCTTGGAGAGGAATAATTTGCACAGATAGGTTGTTGATAGAAAATATGTGCATTCTATAGAGTATGGATGACTAGGGAGGTAAGGAAGGTCCCCGGAGTTCTTCTTCCTCATATTTTCTAAGTCAAAATTTCTATATCTCCTTAAAAGGGTCAGGATCACACACATTTGTATGTGCACCACTTCATTGCTTGGAGAGGAATAATTTGCACAGATAGGTTGTTGATAGAAAATATGTGCATTCTATAGAGTATGGATGACTAGGGAGGTAAGGAAGGTCCCATGTGGTTTCTTATGTTCAGGGAGCCTTTTGGGATGGGAACATAGATGTGGTGGATTCTTTTGGGGGAGGTGGAAGATGACATCAGGTGGATGGCTGCTAGCACAATATATTTAATTATTTCATAAGGTGCTTTCTGTGAGTAGTAAAGCCCTTATGATGGTGGTGTTCGTTGCCTTGACAGCAGTGTATGAAGTCATTTTGAGTACAGATAATTTGTGGAGAAAAAAGAAAATTAGGACAAATTGGTGTTTTATTTACAAGAACAATAAGGTGGTGGTTAAATATATGTTACTGGAGCTTTGAAGTTTCTTATGTTCTGTGTTTGGTGTTGCTTGGGTTATACCAAGATCAGTCTATGATGTGTTGGCGGGAGTGGGGGTTTTACTCGGAGGAACTTTTTTATAGCTTAGGATGTGGTGCCACTTTGTCTTATGTGGTGCATTTGAAAAGAGTGAGTGTGGATGCTTCTTTTGAAGGAGCACGGCTCCCTTTTCGTAAGTTGAAGCATATGTTTTAATATTTTTTATATAAGAGCCTCTATTTGTACAATTGGAATGTAAATAAGTTGTGCTATGTTTTGTTGCTTTTTAGTGAACTAATTTGCTTATCAAAAGAGCACCTCGAGACTGATCTTTGCATCACCCAACGGATAGTAATTCCTGAAGACACTCAACCATAAGTACCTTGTTATGCAATGTGTTAGTCAATTATTCATATTCCCCTCATCTCCCATTACACTTCACTTATGAGGTTCCATGGTTATTGTGTATACTGCCGTTATTTTTAGATTCACTTAAGAAATTCTCTAGTTTTTTCATGCTCTGTAGTTGTGTCCTTTCTTTGTTTCTTCATGTCATAGGTCCTCTAGTATTGTCGCTTGAGGACTATATGTTACTTAACTTTTCATCACCCGATCTGCTGTTCATTCTGGAATGTTGACATATATTAGTCTTGAGTAATTTGTTGAATTGGTTGTCTTTTGGTGTTTGTAGTGCATAGTGGAGGAAGTTCAGGGTCCAACTCAAGCTCGCTCTCGTAAGGGCCGTTTTATATCTGGGTAATGACATGCTGATATCTCAGTAGTTTCAATCCATTTGGGCTCTTCTGTAAATAGAATTTTTTTTTTTTAATAACTAAGTTGTTGGAACACTAAAGGGAAAAAAATATTTGTAAAAGCTAGCTGTAGTGACATGAAGAAAGCAAAGAGAAGGATATCTGAAGCATGTCCAGATTCATTAACATTGAGGATGTGAATTTAACTTTGATTTGTTTTTTTCTTAAAGAATTTAGCTCAAATTAAGCAATGAATTGAACTTTAGTTGTGTTTCAGGCTGAGAAGCGCGGACATTGATGCGTGATATGAAATAGACAAGTTGACACGGCAATTTTTAAAAAATGTAGGACACAGCATGTTGGTCACACCTGTAAAATATAGTTTTATATATTTATTATATGTCATGTATACAAATATTACATTCAAATACCATTACAGCAGATAGAATCAGTGGATAGTGGAAAGATCGCATTGAGCTTGTGAGGCCTTGTGCCACTAACTCTGTTTCAATCTTGGTAGTCTGCTTCATTTGCATCTAAGCAATTGACATGTGTGCCCCTCAAGTGACCAAGTGTGTCTGGGCCAAATTTTTTTTTTTTTTTAACTAATAGAAGATATTTGGACATGTGTCTGATAGGCATAACACCTTCTTAGTAGTGTCCATGCTTCATAGTTTTGTATCGTATCATATCGTTGTCCCATGTTTGTAACTACTAACTAGACTTGGTAACAACATATCTGTGTCTGTATCTGTGCTTCTCAGCATCTTGCTCTGACTCATTTTTATGTATACAGGCATGCACATCCAGGTAGTCCTTATGTATTTGGACTTGTTGGGGTTGATCACGATCTTGACTTTCCAGAGCCAATGCCTGTTGTTGGTATGAATAAGTTACATCCTTCTACATCAAATTCTTTTAGTGAATTTTCTGCTATTACAAACTAGTCTCAGTAGTTTGTTTTAGTTTTTGTGCTTATGTATAATCGTAATGGTCTATTTTGATAATCTTTGTCTGGTGTCTAGGAATATCTCGCTCTGCAAAGGGGTATTGCATAGTATCAGTGCTAGAGACTATGAAGACATATTCTACAGATGATGGACTGACTGAGGAAGCCTTGGTTACCAAGCTTCGTACTTGTCGGTACCATCATTTGTTTCTGCATGCTTCTTTGAAACACAATTCCTCAGGTTTGCAAGGTCTTCTATATTCTGAGAACTTCCAACTTCTTTGTTGAAATTAACTGAACTATCATCAATGGTTTTTTAGGTGACACTCTATTTCATACAAACTAGCGTCAAATCTTCATTTGCAAATTCCTTAAGCATTCCTAAGTTTCTGTACTATTGTTTACTTGAGTGTAATAGAGGTCCACAATGTTGCCTTATGAATATAGTTCTCTCTTACAATCTCATTGCTACTGGAGTCAGAAATGGGTTACTAAAGGTCTCATCGGGAAACCACGAAAAAACTGTTTCTTCTTAGAACTAAATAAGACGAAACAGTTTGGTGAAGCTTCCTTTCCCCTTGTTACCAATGCATTTGATGATTCTTCACGATATTGGAAGCTTCTTTGCAGGGACTTGTCGCTGGGGAGAGTTTGGTGAAGGAGGGTTATTGTGGGGAGAGTGTAGTGCCAGACACTTTGAATGGTTTGAGGGCAATCCTGTCAATGAGCTGTTGTTCAAGGTTTAATAGGCAAATATGACTTTCTCCCTGTTCTTGACTTGTCCTATGCTTCTTTTTTTTTAATTAACATGTTATATGTTATTTATTTGTTTCATAATTTTAGGTAAAGGAGCTCTATGGTCTTGAGGATGAAGTCACATTTAGGAATGTAACCGTTGCTTCAGAAAACAGGCCCCGTCCCTTGCACTTAGGAACGGCGACACAAATCGGTTAGCTTGATCCTATTTACATTTCTTGTTTTTCACTGTCTGAGTCATCTCATACTGAGCGACATTATTATGCGTGTTGCTTAATTTCAGGTGCTATACCAACTGAAGGAATACCCTGTTTGTTAAAGATGTTGCTTCCATCTAATTGTACTGGTCTTCCTGTTCTGTAAGTGAGAATTCGTTATGTTTTCTTTTTCTTTTTCTTTTCCTTTCTTTGAATAACTAAAGGAATGTTATCGGTTACCATTGCTATTTTTTTGTTTTGTTTATTATTATTGATTAATGTTATGGTCATCAATTGAAATCCTAATTTTGAAGTGACATAACTGGGATCCCAACCAAACATCCTAATAAATTAACATAAAAGGACTCAACTCACGTTATTGACTCGGGAAGCAAAAAGAACACCATGATGCTTTCCTAAAAACATGGGCACTGTTTTGGAGGAGGTGGTGATCTTGACTTTCTTAATTTTGTTGACTCTGGTTCTCAGGTATATTCGGGATCTTCTTTTGAATCCTCCTGCTTATGCAATTGCATCTACTATCCAAGGTGAGTGGTAATATACACCTTATCACGTCTTTCATAGGTTGATCTGTCATTTGAAGTCATTTTTCTTCTCTTAGTACTGTACTTGAGACCGAAATAGGTGTGTAGGTAAAGTCGAAAAGTAAGGTATAACCCATGCGAAGTACCAGTACCCGGTATGGGTACGACATGTTTGTTGAAGTACCCATGCTTCATAGTAGATGATTTACTTTGCCAGACTTGTCTTAAGTTGAATTCACTCCTAGGCCTTAAAAAGAATCATTTTCTTGCATGTTTAATAACCTTTATAAGGCCTATTCAAGAGCTTTCAAAAGCTTTTCACTATCGAAAAGTGGGGATGTCTATCTAAACACAAGAAGCCGGAGCCACCCAATCCATCTCCACCAACAGAAACAATTTATGTGATAAATCCATAGCTACAAGTAAATTTGAAGAAAACATCGATTAGCCTAGGAGCATTCACATGGGGCCTATATTGGGCCTTGTGTAATTATGTTTTAGTTTAATTTAAGTCTTATGTTTATTTTGTCTGTAATTTGGTCTAATTCAAGTATGATTTTTAAATAATAGTTCAATAATTTTTAAATAATATAGACATAGAGGTTCATGGGTTGTATGTTTAGCTATGTTACGTTCTTAGGTCTTTATGTGTAGTCTATATTGATTCTATAGCAGTCTTGGTGATCAAAGTGCATGTCTTCTGTTTTTGAGTCGTTCTGGTAGAATTAAGAGAAAGCCAATGATTAATAAACATCTCGTGATCTTTCTATTCATAGTAGTTACATATGTTTTCATATTTGCATTTATACTTAATAATTTGTACTATGTTGCTTTTTTTTTGGCAGCAATATGCAGACTTATGAGCAATGTAAAATGCTCAATTCCTGAGTTTACTTGTGTTTCTTCAGCAAAGGTTGTATTCCAATTTTCTCGTTGATGGCTCCAGTAAAGTAACACTAGCATGCTAATTTAGGAACTGATTTTGTTCCATCACGTGTGGTCTTATAGTAATATATAGATATACACATGTAATATATAGATACAGAGATATTTTATGGCCTTATAGTAACGAAAATCAAACATGAATGCAGTAGAAGATTTAAACCAGAATCACCAACATTATTAAAAATGAAAACCTTGATATATCTCATGAATGGACTAGTAGTTATAGGGCTAAATTTCATATTTCTTTAATATGTCATTCATTTCATTAGGGTAAAATTGTATTTTCTAACTAACAAGGGATTTTTATTTGCAGAATGGAAGTTTTATGCATAGTTTCATACTGTTTACTGTTGAAACCCTGATTCCTTGTTTTTCTGCAGCTTGTAAAGCTACTTGAGTTGAGGGAGGCTAATCATATCGAGTTTTGCAAAATCAAAAGTGTGCTTGATGAAATATTGCAGATGCATAGGAACTCTGAGCTCAGGGAAATTCTGAAATTATTAATGGACCCTACTTGGGTGGCAACTGGGTTGAAAATTGACTTTGAGAAATTAGTAAGTATTATGTAGCCTTTATAAGGCTCTGTTTGTTTGAACCAAAAATATTCTTTCCAAAAATATTTTCCTAATTTTTTTGTGTTTGGTTGCACGTAACTCATGGAAAACATTTTACATGTAAAATATTTTCCACCAAATGAAGAAAAATGACTTACAAATTTAATTTATGTTAGTCATTTTATGAGTCCACTGTTGCTTTGCTTCACATTCATGTTGGTATGGTTGTTCTGTGTGTGTAGGTCGTACGAGTTGAATTAGTATAAAAAAAATATTTTTCATGCCAAACACCGAAAAATGATAGAAGTAACAGATTTTCTCACAAAAAGTTTTACGTAAAAAATATATTTTTAAGAAGTAAAATATTTTACGACAAAACAAACGGAGCCTAAATCTTTTTCATTCTTGGTCTAAATATCTTATGTGCTAATTTTGGCCACCGTTGACAACTGTTGCAATAATTAGAAAATGGGCCACAAGAAAAATTGCAAAAGCAACTTTTGTATATGACACAATGCTCTTTTTCCGTTTAGACTAGTTCTAGAGTCTTGTTAATGGTTTACAACATTAATTTTTTAAGTAAACTCTAATGTAAACTCATATCTTAACTATTCTGAAATGCTTTCAACATGGAGTTTATTTTTTACGTTAAATATGTGTGTGACATGAGTATTCGATTGTCAAATGTGACTATTGGTCTAGCTTTCATCTTTCTAGTTTCTTGTCTTTCAGCAAACCAGGATGAGTTGAAGCAACTCTCTTCTTACATGAAAATAATTTCCAATCTGTTTTCATTTGTAGAGCTTAGGGATAGGTCCAAGATGGGGTAATTGTTGGAAAAGGATTTGTGATCAATTTGGTTTCTTTGAATAAGATGATTTTTACTTGACTTTATAGCGAAATGGTTGCAAATTCTAATTGCATAAAGTTACAAATGTTACTCAAAATTTTAGACTTTCAAATGTCAAAGTAATGAGTGATATAAGGCACCTTGAAATACAATTTAGCCATCTCATGTTCCCTCTGGTCTTGAGAGAATTTCTCAAGTATGTTGTTATTTTTCTCATTCAAAAAAGTTGTTTAGTTCGTTCGTCAATATCTCAAAATTTGAAATCATCTTTTAGGTGGTGTCATGGAATATTCAAAAATCTGCTAAGGTTCATCCTGGCATCAAAAATTAATGTTTGGGCATATTTGTTCTTGCTTCTATGTAGATCTTGACCTTGTCGTTCATATCCTTCAGTGCTCTTGATTCTATTTTATTTTAATGTTTCTGCTGATTTGAGTTATTGTAAGATTAAAAAAGTTTATGGGCTATGGAACTTGGTACATAACATCCCATTCAGGGTTGTGACTGTAAAATGTCGGAACTCTCATTTAATTTTTACTTCTGTCAAAATCTTAATGTAGAATGATTTAAAGTAGCTACTACTAACATCTCTTTGTAAATCTTTCTTGTCAGATTTAATCTCCATTTCTTGCTTTGTTCCTTGTAGGTGAGTGAATGTGAATGGGTTTCATGTAGAATTGGTGAAATGATTTCTTTAGATGGTGAAAGTGATCAAAAGACAAGTTCCTACCCTATCATCCCAAGTGACTTTTTTGAGGACATGGAGTCATCATTTAAAGGTCGTGTCAAAAGGATCCATCTGGAGGAAGCATTTGGAGAAGTGGAAAAGGCAGCTGAAGTGTTATCATTAGCTGTAAGGCTCCAGGACTTCGGCTTGCTTATCATACATATATGATGTTGCTGTACTATAATGATTATATGTTGGTAACTTTTTATGCAAATAACTGTATAAAAGGTGGTTTTGTATTTTCTCTTTATTATTTTCTTCTCTTTTCTCTTCTCTATCTTTTCTTCTGTTTCTCTATCAGTTCATGTATTCTGGTTTTGATCTTAAAAATTATTGCCCCCAAGTTATTGTTGTTGTTAGACACTACTTGTCCAAAAGCTTAAGCAATTATGAAATGCATATCAAGGTCTCACACTATCCCTCACAAGCAAACTCTTCTTTCATACGTAGATATAAATAGACATATTAGGGTGCACTGACAAACATGCAGACAGAACATATTGCATAGAGTCAAATAATATAAAGGGAAATAGATGTACATGGAAAGACTTGCATTCAAGAAACTTATCATGCTAGACCAAAATTACCCTCTCAACTTAGCTTAAGCTATTATGGCTTTTGTAGATTTTGTGGAGGATTTGATTAGTCAGCTTTGTTTGGGCCCTTTGTGGGTTTTCTATTCTTTGAATTCTTTGCATCGTCTTGCCTTTCTAATTAAGTTCGATTATTTATCCAAAAAAAAAAAGGGCTCAACAATGTATAACATGGTCTTATATTTGAAATAAACAATAAATAAATAAATGTGAAGGGAACCTATTCTTGGTAAATGCTCCTTTCATGTCCTCTATGAAGTACATTTGCAATATACTACAAATCTTCGTGCATCCTCAAGCTGATGCTTGTTCACTTCCTCCCTATCATGACCACTAATATTCTCTTAAGTTCGTACTCAATTAATGTTTGAGTCTTGATCTTTGGAGAATTACTAACACAGTTTGATGATGCTAGCAAGGAGGGTCTATTACTAGCACTTTTATTATTTCAAAAAGCTGATGATAAGAACAATTGGTCAGAGTCCTTGCACCTCATTAAGTGGTCAAGGGTTTGAGTCTTACTGCAGGCAAGATTTCTCCCCCATATGGGGGTCTCTCCCTCCCACTTTGGGAACTCGTTTCCCATGTACCAACACAAAACTGATGATAAGGCCAGAGGATGTTGGAATCTTGTGAGAAAACAAATATAAAAAAATTCCTTGTTAAGGATAATTGTATAGATATGATATGTTTGTAATCTTATTTTGCTTTTGCACTATCCATTTTAACAACTTTGTGATCTGATCTGATCTCATATCATGTACCTTAAAATAATCTATACATAAAAATCTATTGTTTTGACATTATTTTAGGTTACTGAAGATTTCCTCCCTATTATTTCAAGAATAAAAGCTTCCACAGCTCCATTTGGAGGATCAAAGGGAGAAATATTATATGCTCGAGAGCATGAAGCTGTTTGGTTCAAGGGAAAACGGTTCACTCCATCTGTATGGGCTGGTACTCCAGGAGAAGAACAAATTAAACAGCTTAGACATGCTGTAGATTCAAAGGGTCGAAAGGTTGGAGAGGAATGGTTTACCACTTTGAAGGTAGAGGATGCACTAACCAGGTGTGTTTTCTGTACTTAGTTATGGAAGTGTTTCTCATTGGTCCGTCATAATTATTTACTTCCTTTTGTTCTCAGAACAATTGAATATTCTGGTTTCCGTTTCAGGTATCATGAAGCAGGTGCCAAGGCTAAAGCAAGGGTCTTAGAATTGTTGAGGGCACTTTCTGCCGAGTTACAAGCTAAAATTAATATCCTTGTCTTCGCATCCATGTTGCTTGTCATTGCAAAGGCATTATTTGCTCATGTGAGGTGGGATGGTCAAATTTTTTGAGTTTCATTTTATGTGGTTTCTTCTTTAAATTTCTGTTTTGGAATTGAAACATTGTTTATTATTCAAAATGATTTTATTACCTTGTCTGTAATGTTTCCATAGTTTTTTTTACTATGCGTGGAACGTTATGTAAAAAGAAGTATCCTTTCTTTTTGACTTCTTCACCACCACCACTACTACTTGGGCCCTTTGACCTGGGACATCCACTACTAAATGTGGAAACTTCTGCATAGAACTGAATTTGTTAATCACAATGATTATTACAAACCATTGAAACTATATGGAGGCATTTAGTCTGCAGTGTCCTTTCTTTTAGACTTCTTCACCACCACCACTACTACTTTGAGTTATCCATGTTGCAAAATTTACTGGACATGTGTTATCACATTTGAATATTTACTGCTTCCTTCTTGATTGTAATCTTGACTTTATATATATTTTACAGTGAAGGGAGAAGAAGAAAATGGGTTTTTCCTACTCTTGCACCATTCCATCGGTTGAAGGTAGTATTCATCTACCCAAATTATCTGTTATTATCATATGATTCATCCTGTGCTGAAAATTATCTATTTGAAATGGTACATTAGCTGTGCCTTAATCCCCCATTAGTTTTGGTAGCTTTATGGATCCAATTGATTCATACATTCTAAATAATTTTTGTGACTAGCTTTTACCGCTGCATGAAGCGGTGGCCCGTTAATTGAGCAACTGATGGAAAACGTAAAAACTGAGAACCTTATTTGGGTAATTGATGGTTGAAATAAAATTGGGAACAAAGCTATATTGTTGTCTCTATCCATTGTTTTGACTTGTCTTCTTTAGATGCTAAGACTTTATAGGATTTAAGCTCCATACTTCAAGAGCCAGCTTAGGCCATGAGATGTCAACTTGGATGAGTTTGGCTTTGCTGAAAAATTATGAGTAGAAACAATTTAATGTGGCTTTTCTGCATCTACTACACAATACACCTGGGCATATTGCTTGTATTAGTTGATTCATTTTGTTACAATTTTAACATTTCATATCTAATTTGCCAAAAAACTATGATTCACAATTCTTCACTAAATCTTGATTTATATACTGATTGAAGCTACTATTACTTTCGGCATTCTTCTATGCAATTGATTTTTTCAATGTAATCTTGTTGATGTGGAAATCTTAACTTGTGGATGCATTTACTCATTAGATAGTTGACACATTTGCAAATTGTGCATTCTTTTTGGTTTTAGCTATTAAGAGATGTGATGCTTAATAGTTATAGATGTCATAATGTCTGCATGGTTCTTCTGTAGGAGCCTGGGTCATCTTTGGATCATTAACAATCATTCCATCTATGATACATGTATGGAGTCTCATATATTAACATCTTTGATGCAGGATATAGAATCTCCAGATGTAGCTGATGGGATGAAGATAACTGGTTTATCACCATATTGGTTGGATGTCGTGCAAGGCAGTGCAGTGCAAAATACAGTTGATATGCAATCATTGTTTCTGCTGACAGGGCCAAACGGTGGTGGCAAATCAAGCTTGCTTCGATCAATTTGTGCAGCTGCATTACTTGGAATATGTGGATTAATGGTGCCTGCAGAATCAGCTTTGATTCCTTATTTTGACTCCATTATGCTGCACATGAAATCTTATGATAGCCCCGCTGATGGGAAAAGTTCATTTCAGGTGCATTATGTGTCCTATATTGCAGATTTAATTGTTAATTTTTTTACTTATTCCTGTAGAAATATAATGTATTATTGATTGATTCTTGATTGATATTTATTACAATGATTCATGATTCCTATATATAGAAGAGGGTGAGTGTGTAGTAGGTAAGGAGTAGGTGAAGTGGAGGTGGTAGTGGTGTAGTGGGTTAGGTTTAGTGGAGTAGGTTTAAGTGGGTGAAGTAGGTGGAGAGTAGGTGGATTTTACTTTTTGGGGGAAATGTCCGACTTGCACTGGGAGATGGGAAAAATGATGTTTTCCATGGTACAGTGTCAACAATGATAATTGGTTGTTGTTGGGCTGCTTTATACTGATATCATTCCTATTCTGGTGATTGCTTATTTGGATCCAAATGTTATAATCAAAATCATCACTACTTCGAAAAATCACTGAATTGGGTTGGTGCTTCATTATGAATATGGCAATGATTAGGGCCTCTAGGATACTGTTCAAATGTAATGGTGGTTTGATAAACTCTCAAGAGTTTCTTCAAACAGAGCCTAGAGCTTGGTTTTGCGATTAATGTGGTAGCATTGTGAAGGGTTCAAGAAGTTGGGGTTGAGGTTGATTAATATCATTCAGATTTTTGGTCTTTGGTTGTCAAACTGATTCTACTTCTGTCTCTCATTTCTACCAATGTCATCTGTACTATATTCGATATTTGCACATCCATGCAACACGACGGAAAATAGTAACTAACTGCATATTTATGTCTCAGATTGAAATGTCAGAGATTCGTTCTATAATAACTGGAGCCACTTCAAGGAGTCTCGTTCTCATAGACGAAATATGCAGAGGAACAGAAACAGCGAAGGGGACATGTATTGCTGGTAGCATTGCAGAAACTCTTGATGGAATTGGTTGTCTTGGTATTATATCTACCCATTTGCATGGAATTTTTAATTTACCATTAACTACAAAGAACACTGCGTATAAAGCAATGGCAACAGAATATGTTGATGGGTTAACAAAACCAACATGGAAGCTGATAGATGGGATCTGCAAAGAAAGAGATTTTTGGTCTTTGGTTGTCAAACTGATTCTACTTCTGTCTCTCATTTCTACCAATGTCATCTGTACTATATTCGATATTTGCACATCAATGCAACACGACGGAAAATAGCAACTAACTGCATATTTATGTCTCAGATTGAAATGTCAGAGATTCGTTCTATAATAACTGGAGCCACTTCAAGGAGTCTCGTTCTCATAGACGAAATATGCAGAGGAACAGAAACAGCGAAGGGGACATGTATTGCTGGTAGCATTGCAGAAACTCTTGATGGAATTGGTTGTCTTGGTATTATATCTACCCATTTGCATGGAATTTTTAATTTACCATTAACTACAAAGAACACTGCGTATAAAGCAATGGCAACAGAATATGTTGATGGGTTAACAAAACCAACATGGAAGCTGATAGATGGGATCTGCAAAGAAAGCCTTGCATTTGAAACAGCTCAAAGGGAAGGAATTCCTGAAACAATTATCCGAAGAGCGGAAGAGCTATATTTTTCGGTTTACGCAAAAGATGTGCTTTTGGAAAGGAACGACACAAAACTAGAACAGTTTACTTCGGATACAAATGTCAATGGGTACAATGAAGGCTATGATCAAGTTAGCAGTATCGGTAAAAGAGCAATCTACCACAAGGTTGAGTCAACTAACCGAATGGAGATTTTGTGGAAGGAAGTCAAGAGTGCAGTCACTGTTATTTGTCAGAAAAAGTTAATTGAGCTCTACAAGAAGAAAAATACACCAGATCTTGCGGAAGTAAATTGTGTTGCTATTGCTGCTAGGGAACAGCCTCCTCCATCGACAATAGGTGCTTCAAGTGTTTATATCATGCTTAGACCTGACAAAAAGTTATATGTTGGAGAGGTACTCATCTTTGAATATTATTGATTTCTTTATGGCTATGTTCGGATCTGGGATTTATCCAGGAAAACAAAAATGCAAGGGAAATAAAATTACACAAATCCAAGATCCGAACATTATTGTTAAGTTGCGAATCTAGCAAGTAAATAATATAGATCTTCTTGCAAGTATTTGCTGATGCTATTGCTGGTATTTTAATATTTTCGTCTGATGTGCTTAACTTGGTTGCTATACTTCTACCAGACCGATGATCTTGAGGGCCGAATTCGTGCTCATCGTTCGAAGGAGGGAATGCACAATGCTTCATTCCTTTATTTCTTGGTATCTGGCAAGAGCATGGCATGCCAACTGGAAACTCTTCTCATCAACCAGCTTCCTAATCAAGGTTTCCAACTCTCCAATTTGGCAGATGGTAAGCATCGAAATTTTGGCACTTCTAATCTCTCTTTAGAAAGTGTTCCCTTGCATAGATGAATCCACATTTCTTGATAACCATTATGTACATGGTACAAAGCTACAGTGAAATATCTCACCAATGTAGTATTTAGATTATGAATTGACATTGTAAATTAGGGAATATAACATGAGGAGGTCTGACATTGAACTTGCAGTGGCTGCAGCAATTTTTGGTCTTCATCGTCGTTGCTACACTGCAATATTCCTTTCTAAATCACCCAATCGAAAAAAGAGGGTGTTTTGTTGTTGATTAATGGCATCTTTAAGCTTTTTGTTGCTATTTATATAAGTTAGTTATTAATTGATATGTTGTCTAGTTAAAAAAAAAAAATTTGAGTGGGAGAAAAGGTCGGCTCCATCCATCAACTTTTGAGCTGCCTCGTTGGTCAGAACCACAATGTGCGCATGTCAAGATTGTACTTACATGTCAAGGTGGTGTACTTGCAGTAGGAGTGTTGACCAACTGAAATAGTCCTAGTTAGTTCCCTAGAACTCATTTTATATCATGTTCTATTTCTGTCTATAGAGTTTTTTTTTTTTTCCATTCCCTTTTGTTTCAATCCCCAAACAAAAAAGGAAAAAAGGGGAGGCTCCCACTAAGTGCGACTTGGCTAACAATAAAGGCTTGTCATTAGTATCTTGGTAGGGTAGGTTTGAGTCACCAAAACCGACCTCTCCATAAATGGGAGAGAAGCCACATACATGGTGCCCTCCCAAACTCCCCAAACAAAATGAAAATGAATAGAAATGTTTTGTTTTAGTTCATGGAGTTAAAGAGGTCAGTTTATGCTTGGTATAATTCATCCCACATTATTCCCTTTGTCCAAATATTTACAATCCTCATGTACCAAACATGTAAGAGCATTTTTTCATTTTTTTTCCCTCTAAAGAAGTATCAGTTTAAAAAGGTTTGTAGTAAAGACAACAGCAAGTCAAATTGATCTAGTTCTTCTGTCACAAATTGAATCATGAACCCGAAATCTGAATGTAGTAAGCAGACGATGGCAAAAGAGGTAACTCCGATGAGGTGCAGGTGATTCTCTGATAGAACACATGATTGAGTGGTCACCGGAGAAAAAACTGAAAGTGCACTGACCTCTCACAGATTGGTAGGGCCCATGTGTCAGAGGTCTGTACATTTTCGGTGTACTTTTTTCCTGTGCAAACAGACTTCTTTTTCTGATTGAATTGATATGCATGCTTTGTTATGCCAAGAGCCAAAAGTTTTTCTGGGTTTTTGTATTGAGGAGATAGCCTGCATTTTGGCCCTTCTTCTGAACTGCAACACAGGTGCACTTGCTGTGCTCAATCAAATACTCTGCTGTGTCTAGTCCTCTCAAAGCCCCATTCCTCCTATGCCTGTTCAAATATACATGTATATATATATATATACATATACAAATAGAATTAGAATTAGAAAAATAATGCTAGATAATTAGTTTATATTTGGGTTCCGTTTGTATTTATGGATTTGAAGTACATAGATTTGGCATTAATCGATCAATAAAAAAGGTTAAATTTAAATTTGATAGTTTAGTTATAGATTTCAATTATGATGGATTTGAATTAACTGTATTATTTGTACAGAAAACTAACTACAGAATTGGACACAACGTTTTCACATAGGTGTGGGACCCACTTCATGTGAGAGGGTAGTGTCTAGTTATGTGATCGGTTTATATGTTTTAAATTTTTTCTTGAAATAAATATATAAAAGTAATTATATTTGAAATCATACTAAGGATAAGTGTTTATTAAAAATAAAAAAAAACTATAAGAGTCCTACTAAAATACATCTTTTTTAAATTGACTTACCTTCTTCTTTAGCTTTACTATCAACCTATCATAACTATTTCTCCAATACTTTTATAAAATTTAACTTGGAATTTCTTAATTTGAAATTCATCCATCCAAAAATACTCTTACATACATATTCATGGGAGAAAATATTTTATGAAAAGTTTTCATATATGAATATTTTTTTTTTTTAATTATGTTCAATAAACAGGAAAGAAAAGCAAAAGCAAAGGCAAAATAAAATTCATTTTCATTTGCAGCATGTATTCGATGTTGCAAGAAAATGTGGGTCCACTCTAACTGTTTTCTTGTAGGAAATATTTTTCGTCAAATCTCTTCTCACAAAAAATAAAAATAAAAAATAAAAAGTATACAATTATGCATCATTTGAAGGTTGAAATTGTTTTGCACATAAATCTTCTTGTAAATTGGATGATTAAAGAAAAAGTAAATTATTTGTTTTTTTATTTTTCTTTCTTTTAATTCATTTTTCTCAAGAAATTTCTTATTGCACAAGTAGCGAAATATGGATTGCCTAAACAAGTTTTATATTGTTTCACCCTAATGTTAGACATAGGCACTATTGATGGAATTTCAATATGAATTTTTTTAAAAAAAATTCCTCATATAACCCATCATTGTTTCAGTGGATCAAAAAATATGAATGAATAGAAGTGTTTTTTCACTAAAACTTACCCTAATATTACATTTGATAGGCTCCGCCTTTGCCCTAAAACAAGGAGATCAACTGAGTACACAATGCTCCAATGAAGAACTACCGCCGCCTTTTCTTTGCCGTCCATTGCCACCTTCTCCACAATCACATGGAGCTTTGGTTGTGAAATTTCACAAGCATGCTTCATTGCTTCAAGAAAATCCATTTCTCCACCACTACCTAAGGCGGTGGTTGAAGAGGCAGCGGCAGAGGTGGAAGGTGACGGACGTTTAAAAAATAAAAATGAATTTTTCCATGAATTAGGGTTTCCAACATGGAGAAGAATTATTGTATCGTGCTCAACCACTACATGAGAGAGTGCATATTGCAACGCAGCAGCCGATTCACGGGTAGGGTCCGCTACCACCATCACCTTACGCGCCGGTGCCATCTTGCTGTTGTTCCTACCATCAAGGTGCTGCTAGTGCAGCTGCCACCGCTGCCGCTGCCCGTTAACACCACCCTTTTTGTTGGTTATGGAGATGGAAGTAGAATTGGAAGGATGGAAATGAATAGGAAAAGAGGCTTGTCTTTTTGTTGTGTGTTTATCAAAAAGGGTTGTGATTCACAAGTTTTGATTGTTGTGTTTTTGTGCTAAATTTGCGGCTACGTATAATTTTTGGGAGGACAATAAGATGACCAGGTCAATGCCACCCTAGATATGCTGTTTTTAGAGTACAACAAATATATATTTATAAATAATAAAATAAGGAAAAGAGAAAAAGAAAAAAGAGGCATATTGCATCATATTGCTTAAAAAACATTTTATCCCAATTGCTTGGTATATTTTGCTTTGATTTTTCGAGAAAAAGCAACATAAAACTTGTTTGGCTTACTGTTTCTGAAAATTGTCATTGAAAAAACAATTCTAAAAACAACTCACTTTTTAAGAAATACCGGGAAAATGTTTTCACACAAAACAACGATTGTGTTAAAATTTTTCATTGTTTTTTGTTTCCAAAAACCAAAAACAAAGAAAACAAAAATGATACCAGACAAAACTAGTCTCGTCCAATCTTTGTGCTTTGCCTTGAATCTCTGGTGTGGTTATTGTTTTGTCCAAACTGAACAATAATATTCATCAAATCAATACTAGCCACAAAAATAAATAAATAAATAAAAGCCAAAGTCATCCATAAAAACATGGAAATTCACATTATTGCTATCTCCAGAAGAAAAGAATTGTTCATTGTGAACAGCTAATTGTTGAATTTAGCCCCATATCATCAAGAAGAGGTCACAAGAAAATTACGATCCAGTCAACAGCTAACATCGGATTTGTAACAAATACGGTTTACACGAGGGAAAAATGTCAAGTTAATGAACACATACCAGTCAGCCAAGAGTTTATTCCCCGTGTATAGAAGAAGAAAAACTATAGGTTTTCCTGTTTGACAAATAAGTTTACAAGGGCGATCTCATATGGACCATCCAATTTGGACTTGTTCTAACTCAATTCATGAAGAAGGTAAGGTTGATGAACACCAAATCTTCAGAACCAAATCACTGATAGCAGTAGTTTGCAGTTGGTGAAGCAAAATATCTCTAATCAGGCTGGAAACCAAAAGGCAAAAACAAAATGTTACGGTGAAATGATGAAAAGCAGATTCAGAATTTAGAAAAACAGAAACAGTTAGTAGTGACCCACCTATAACATTATCAGCTCTTGGCATTCAATTTCTCCAAAAGGATCTTGTTCAGAAGCCCCGGGTTTGCCTTACCTTTCGATAGTTTCATTACCTGAGTAGTTTGTTATAATGTTAAGAATCATCAAGTTCAAATAGCCAAAAGAGTCTAAAGACTATCACCAGGGAACCAAATGCGTGTCAAACTTTGCACAGTTTCATACCTGGCCAGCAAAGTAACCTTGTAACTTAGTTTTTCCGCCACGATACTGTTCCAGCTGCTTTGGATTCTCTGCAATCACTTTATCCACCATTTTCTGAATTTCAACTGGGTCTACTATCTGAAATCATAAAACAAGAAGTGTCACCAAGCATCTAATCCTGATTACCTAGGGTTGTTTGTATGGATAAATGAGCCTGTCACGCACTGAATTTATATCTTATAAAATATAAAATAAAGAGCAACCTAGTGTACAAGGCTTTTGTTAAAGCGGCATCTGGGGACGACAAGATAATCCTTCATTTATAACTTTTTTACAAGTATCCTATGTCTGTAACTGTTAAATGAACTAGGTCACTAAGTGAACGAAATTGCTTGTGCATAACTCGGGTTTAATAGTTAACGAGCTCATTTTGCCTCATGCACCAACCCTACAATCCAAACAAAACTTTAAGTTTCAAGCTTCATTACTTTTTAGCCCAAGAACTCAGGCTTGACTCCTCAGACTTGCAAAAAAACCCTGTAGCTGCAAGTGCTAAACAGCTCTAATGACATAACAATTCCATAGAAAGTTACTTCAACACACTTAAAAAAAAGTCAACAAATACCACAGGCCCAGAAGTTATGATGAGAATCTTGAAGCTTCTTGAATATGTAGTCACACATATTCTGTGACATACTTGAACATTTATAAATCCAACAATGCAGCAATGAAGCAATTTTGATAGTTGAGGGGTCTAAATGTGCGGTTTGAAAGTTGAGGGGAAGGTGATGTTCAGTTATAGTTGAGGAGGGGTGCAGGGCCGGCCCTGGCCTAAGGCCAATAAGGCTTGTGCCTTAGGCCCCATAATTTTGGCCCAAAAAAAAAGCCCCCAAATTTAATAAATTGTTATAAGCCCAACCTTTTGTTTTGTTTTTTTGGTTTTGTTTTAGGATCAATTTAAAGGGCCCAAAATGTTTTATTGGGCCCATGTTTGGTTTAGTCCATATTTATGTGGTTTGGCCCATGTTTATTAAAATGAAAATATATAAAAAAACAAAAAAAAAACAAATAAAGTGTTTGGGCCCAACCCAAACCATACATACAATATACAACATTGTTCACTTAATATATGAAAGTAAATTTTAATTTATAATTTTAATAATTATATGTGCAAGTATACTTAAATAAAAAATTTGTGAATACTTATCATTTTAATCATAAATTTTTTATTAAAAAAAATATATTAGAGGAGCTCCATTTTCATAGTCCGCCTTAGGCCCCACAAATCTCAGGGCCAGCCCTGGAGGGGTGAAGTGTAACTAACCCTAGGTTATTTACATTGACCCCACTGGGTAGATGAGTTGGCGAGGATCCACCTCAATAATCGAAGGAAAGGTATTTCAAATAAGATTAGACTGCTGGATCTAACATTCTAGGTTATGTCATGAATTTAAGCATTGATCTAGAAATTTCTAATAGAGCTTACCTGAACCAAATCCTTTTCTGTGATCAATCCCTTGACAGTTCCACCTTTGGCCATCAACTCAAACAGTATCTGCAAAATTTTATGTAGGAAAAGTTCACGAATAAATGAAATAAACAGAATACCAATTATATTTGCTCAAAAAAAATATAATTCATGCAGAACTGTCTGAAAGTATTTCTCAAGAAAATTAATGCAACAGTTCACACTACCATTCCAGTCCCCACAAGGGCACTTGAGAACTAGTACTACCAACGAACCAAACAAAAACACTAGAGACTTTAAGCTAAAGAAAATTGTGTTTGAATGATGAAATAAAAAACAAACTATATGCAAAACATTACTACCGGGTACATATACAAACCTCTTTACCAATCTTTCCACTAATTGTACCACCTTTTATTGAGGCTATCAGCTCAGCCAGCTCTTGTGGGGTAAGTTTAATCTCATTTACAGACAACTTTTCATTTTTCATATAGGCAGCAATATCCCCCATTATCCAATTGGCTGCAAGCTTTACATCAGCGCCCTTGGCAATAGTTGCATCAAAAAAATCTGCAACCTGAGACATTCATTCAATGAAAGGGCAAGAACCACCTTAGATCATCCAATCGTGAACTTGTGTTAAGCAATGCTACAAAGCTACAAAAGAAAAGGCTAGTCAGAAGCAGAGGCAATGCATAAATTGATTGTTAATTCAAGCCTTTTTTTAATCTTGAGCACTCAAATAAAAGCTAGAAACTCAGATACCAACAGTCACAATATAGAGTCAGTACCAACACTAGAAACAGGTATGCATACCACCACTTACATTTATGTCATTGGCAAGGAAAATAACATCTTGCATGCTTAGACCCATTTGCTCATACCTCCGACGCTTCATTTCTGGAAGCTCGGGTAAAGAATCACGAATTCCATTGATGTACTCATTACCGAGAATAACTTCTGGAAGGTCAGGCTCAGGAAAATAACGATAATCAGCTAGTCCTTCCTTCTTTCTCATTGTAACTGTTTTCTAACAATACGACAAAGGTTAATGAAGCATATAAGTAGCCAAGGAGAAATGTAGTTAAGGCCTCATTACTATGTAATACTAGCATAAAAGTAAGATCTAGCAGTAACCTGAGCACCCTCATCCCAAAGACGAGTCTCCTGTACAATCTGATTGCTCTCGCCTTCATTGTGGAGAAGCACCTGCCTCGAGATCTCAAAATCAATGGCCCTACTTATTGCTGAAAAAGAGTTCAAGTTCTTGACCTCAACCTGTTGATGCAAAGTGGGATGAAATAAAGAACTGCTAGAAACGGTAAACTCACACACAAATCAGACACACACACACACACACACATGATAACAAGAAAGGAATCAAGGTTAATAGTAAGAGATTGAGCTCATCGGAAAGAACTAGAATGGCATAGTAAATTCAGCATAGTACTCAAGAGACGACTCAAAGACTCAGTTGAGATATTTAACCCATTTTGATAAAAACCATTTAGGTATCTCCCTACGATGATGCAAAATTTTCAATTGCATTATCTTATTCTAGTCTATCATTCTGGTAACAAGTACATGATTGCATTAGTAGTTGATCAATAATCAATATGGAAGACTGGAAGAGTAACATCAATGTTTGATTCCAAGACTTGAAACAAGCATGAACATAAAAGAGATTACAGTCTTTCTTTTGAAATTCCTTATCGGGAGCTTTCCTTCTTAGAGTTGCAGTAAAATTCTCTTAACTTCTACTAGCCACAAAGCTTATACTTGGTCTTTTCATAGACGTGCAAAGGTTCATTCTATTGTCTTTCAGTGGCTCAAAAAATTTGTATGACTATTTGAAGATGAGAGCATATTTTTCTTTGCATTGACATTTTACTGCTTCACCTCCACTCAAATATAATTTCAAATACTGTCTTATGGCCCTTACTTCTTTTTTTTATGATTTAATTTACAGTTTGAGTAGTATACCTAGTAGCCAGTGACTATTTAAAAACTGCTCTATTTAGTATTTCCATCAAACCATGCTCAACCCCATTTTGACAAACTGACAACAAGAACAGAAACTAAGAGTGACTTGCATAAAGTAAGAAAGTTGAGGGGCAATAATTTACTGTTGTTTAAGTTCCAACCTAAAAGAAAGGGTTGACATCATCTTAAAGTTCAATGGGAAAAAGTTGAGAAACTAGCACCCAGTTACCTTAGTACCAAACTCTAATTGCCCAATGGGTCGGACGGAGACATTGACATCACAACGAAGTGAACCTTCTTGCATATTGCCATTGCTCACTCCTAAAAACCGAACCAACCTCTGCAATTCTGCTGCATACTCTGCAGCTTCAATACCAGTTCTCATATCAGGTTCCGAAACAATCTCAAGCAAAGGTACCCCAGCCCTATTCAAATCAACCTGCACAGAGGAACCCACAGATTCAACAAACCCTACAAATTTCATTACAATTGTCTACCAAAACCGACTGACAGTTCCAGGAGAAGAGGTAAAACAAGGTACCAATAAATGAATACAAAAATAATAGTCATGGAAGTTCATATTGAAATCAAACCCATCAACTGCAAACCTAGTATTCTCTATCATCCCAAGAAACACACCCACTTCTAAAAAGGTGGTGTGCCCATGTTCAACACTTACTGTACACCGACACTTCTAAAACTCACCAAACACATGTCCAAACATGTTATTATTATTTTTTTAAAAAAAAAATTGGAGTTGGACGGGCACTTCGGGGATACACGAGTCCATCACTTAGTCACATATGAAACATATCATAAGTTTAAACAAAATAACTTAAGATCTAATGATAAAAGGAAAACAACTCAGAATTATACCTATTAATCCATACTCCTTTACCTTTCAAATTTTGTGTTATGCTATATATTTTTATTAACTGTGAATGTAATATTCATATATATGATATAATATAAGTTTAAGTTTGCAAGTGTCCCCAATGTGTTGTGTCATCCATTCTTGAAAACTATCATGCTGGCATGTCCATGTCAGTGTTTCTTAGCTAACATCAAATAAACCCATAAACCAAATTCCTGGTAATTGAACACACAATGAAATCATGAAGCATCCCAACACCATTAACTAATGACAAGAAGAAAACAATACATTAAAGACAAACTTATCCATGGTATATGTTCAGGATCAAGAAGAGAGCATTGAACAATTAAAATGACATGAAAGTAAAGGAGAAGTAATTACCTCGGAGTAACTCCCATTTCCAGTGTGAAGTAGCTTTCCGGCATCCTCTTCCATATGAACCCTAGTAATGCCAAACCTCCTATGCCCACCTCCATACTCAACTGGAAGATCCAAATCAATGAAACCCCCGGTTGCAATTGGGACATCAAACTGAGATATTTGGTAGCCTTTGGGAAGGTCCGGGTAAAAGTATTGTTTCCTATCAAACTTTGAATTCAAAGACAATTTACAATTAAGTGCAAGACCCAGTTTAACCGCGAACTCGATAACCTTCGAATTCAAAACTGGCAATGCTCCAGGCAAACCCATACAAATGGGGCAAACAGTGGTGTTTGGTTGAGACCCATAATTGTAAGCGCAACTACAAAAGGCCTTGGTGATAGTAGAGAGCTGTACATGAGTCTCTATACCAATGACTGCCTCAAAATCTTTTGAAATTTTATCCAGTCTTTTGGATTGTGTTGAAACTTTCAATTGGGGTTCTTGCTTTTCATGTGTTGCAATTTGGGTTTGTGTGCTTTTCATTGTGCAATAAAATAGAGCATGTTTTCTTGGAAAAAATCCAGATGGGTAAAGCAAAAAAGGGCGAGATTGAATCCCTCTAAAGAATGACAAAGCCATCTTACTGGGTATTCAGTCCAATTTGAAAATCAAGAAATGGAAAGGGAGTGCCTGTGGAGAATCAAAAGAGTGCTTGTAAGCAATAAAAGTGAGAACATTTATGCAAGAAACGATCATCAGACATAGAAAAGCATACAAAGAACTATCATATTGAGCTAAAATTGATGATGTACCCAGAATTTATCTTGTTTCCAGACCTCGAAAATTCAATGAGAATCATCCAAACTACAGAGAGAGAGAGAGAGAGAGAGAGAGAGAGAGAGAGGGGACTGAGGAGGGGATTACTGATTTTGTGGGATGGTTTTAGCAGCAAACACACGAGCGAGTGGAGAGATAAGAGGGGTGCGGCTAAATGCACCCACGATATCACTCTATACACCCACTTTTGATGTGGGTGCAACCAATTAGCATCACATCAAATCTCCACCTAGACCAAAACAAAAAATAAAAAATAAAAAAATTGTAAATTACACAAATAATAAGATTTGAAAAAAATGCATTACCATTTTATAAATTTTATATAATAATTTATTTAAATAAAACATAAAAAGTATCTACTATTATGACTTCCACCTCAAATTTTTTACACTTGCAGCGGCAAACAATATCTATACTATTATATAAAGTCTATATCTGAATCGATGTAAATTGACACATAATTTTTATTTTTTGAAAATAATTTCATGTAACAATTTGTAACCTCATGTAATAGTATAGATGTTGCTCGGAAAAACTGGCAATGCTGCAGGCAAACCCATACAAATGGGGCAAACAGATCTTTTCTTGGAAAAAAATCTTTTGTTGGAAAAAAACCAGATTTTTTGCCCCATTTAGTATAGAGAAGATTTCAAAAGATTTTTTCCGAGATTTTGGGTAAATGTCTAAAATTTCTTGCCTTCCACAATTGTCCAAATCAAATTTCGATAAAAATTTGTAACTTGTTACAATTTTTAACAACAAACTCATTAGGACAGTAATTTTTTTTTTCATGAATGCTCTTTCACTTCTTAACTACTCATAAATAAAAAAAACATTAGATTAAAATTTTAGAAGTCCATTAAAAAAATAATTTTAGTAAAAAAAAAAAAACCAAAAAATTTATTATTGCAATAGTAAGAAAAAAATTCTAAAATTTATTAATTTGCATAACAATTTTTTCTTTAACAAAACCCTAAAGAAAAAATTAATCGATGGATAGTCTCGGTTCACCAAGGACATAATTAACTTCTCATTTTCCTCTCCTCCCCTTTATTGATTTTTTTTTTTTTTTGGGCAAGATTAAATATTCTGACAGTTGAAAAGAATAAAATAAAAAGTCTTAAAATTGAAATAATAATAATAATAAATATAAAAATGAGGGTAGAAGAGATCGCATAAAAGTGTACTAGTTTGTTGCATGTACAAGTTGTAGGGTAAAGTAACTACCTGATTCCTGAAGCTTCATGTTTCCTAATTGGAATTCAGTCTTAGTTTCCTATTCCATTATGGACTTGGATTCCCATACACACGCTTTCATAACCTTATATATATATATATATATATGTTCGTAAGCCTTCAATTCAAGCCATCTTTGAAGCTTGTCAATTTCAATTTTGTTGTCAATGGCCAAGCATTCCAAGAAAACCAGAAGAGAAATTTCACGACCCAATTGGCGTAATCTTCACAGTGATATGTTGGATTTGATCCTAGATCGATTGTGTTTCATTGACATGCTTCGTTTCAGAGCTGTTTGTACTTCTTGGCGATCGATTGCCAAAACCCATATCTCATCTTCTTCATTACCACTCTACTCTTCAAACCTTCAACCTCCATATCTCCTGCTTCCTCAAGGCTATGTTGATGATGATGACCAAGATGGCCTTGATCACAGCCGTTGCTTCTTCAATCTTGCTGACAAAACGTTCATCGAGCTCAACAATATGCCGAAAGCTTTGAGCCAGAGTCGATGTGTTGGATCATCACAAGGGTGGTTGCTGTTTTTGGATGAAAACAATACACCCCGTATCTTAAATCCCTTCTTGGATGTTAGTGTTCGACCCTATTTTCATCACATGCTTTCTTTCATTACCAAAGCTGTTCTCTGGAAAGACCCAATTGTCAGTGACAATAACTATGGCATTGTGGCTATCTATGGCTTTAATTTCCAATCAAAGCTTGCTTATTCTAAGTGTGGAGATTCTAATTGGTTTGAACTCGCTGGTTCACATGAGACCTACTGTGATATCATATGCTGCAGAGATTATGTATATGCATTAGCCGATGTAGGTTCTGTTGAAGCTTGGGATTTTAATTGTTCTATCCCTAGAAAAATTATGGACATTGAAGCTTATTTTCCTGAAGAAAGGGTTGAATTTGAGAAGTCTCTGAATGATCTTTATTCTAGCCAATTTTACTTGGTGGAGTCACTAGGTGAGCTCTTGCTTGTTATAAGGTATATTGGTGAGTTTGTTGGGTATGACGGTGAAGTTGTTGGCGAGGCTGATTTTGATGATGGGTTGATTTATCCATACATGACAAAGTTTTTTCATGTTTACAAATTGGATTTCAAAAAGAAAAAATGGGAGAAAATGGGATCGTTGCGTGATCGGATGTTATTTTTAGGTGGAAATCAGTCTATATCACTGTCAACTCAAAACTTTTCTGAGTATGAGGAGAATTCAATATACTTCACAGATGACTCTTGGGATCGAATGGATGAGCATTACGAGTATGGGGGTCATGATATGGGAATCTTCAACTTGAAAGATGATTGTGTCAAACAGATTACTGGAATTGAAGATTTGCAGAAATTTCAACCACCACCTTTTTGGGTTGTCCCTACTAATTCGGTTCAATGGCAGCCTTAAGATACAATGATTCAACAGCCAAAAAAGTTTATCCCTCTTAATTTGTATTTAGTTTTTCTAACATTAAATTTCATTAATTGTAAGTATAGGGTATGTTTAAAGGATTACAGCTTAAACTTTTGTTATGAAAAATTGAAATAGGTTACCAGTTTTTGTTCACCTTGTAAAATTTAAAAAGAGTTTCTTGTTTACGTCAGGAAGAGAAAATTTGTTTCATGAATGCTCTGCTTGCCAATGCAACACAACAAAAATGGTTTGGTTTGATGAATGGGGATTCAGCCTATTGTTTTATCAAATCAGATTGGAAATTGGCCCTGTTTGGAGTAGTTTTCAGAAAACTACTCACATAAACATATTTTGGCTCCATTTGGGAAGAGCTAGATTGAGCTTTTTTGGCTATTTTAGTCACAAAAGACAAAATAAACTATTTTAGTCACAAAAAACAAAACATCACATCCAACCCATAATCATTACACTCTTCTCTCACAAAAAAAGTCAAAAAGTCAAAAAACCCTTCTCAAACCAAACTTTTTAGCGCAGGCTAAAATAGCCAAAAAAATCAAAAAGCCAAAAAGTCAACCCATTTCTCAAACCAACCCTTTGTGAAAAATGTGAAAAAAAATTCAGAGAATTTTATTTGTGCTGCTATTTGTCAAACTTTTTTATTTTTTTATTTTATTGTGCCAAATTTTTATATATTTCAGAAAGAAACTATCACTGCAAACAAGAGAGATCATAACTGATCTTTTTTATAACAGTTCAAGTAGTCTTGTGTTTACCAGATTAAATCATGAAATCCCATGGCTTTATATCTATATCCCAAAGTCTATCTCAAGACTCTCAACTGATTGAAGCATCTTTTTGAAAACACAAGTAATTCAATGAGGAAATAAGTTGAAAACAACTAATAAATAAGATTTTAATTTTTTAAACCACCCAGGTTTATTTATTTATTTATTTTTTGTTAAAAAAAAAAAATACCCTCAAAGGAACATCAACATCATGAATAAACAAACAAGCAAGAAACTATTCTTTAGAAGCAGCAAAAAAGAAGAGGAAACACCATTGTAAGGACAAAGGAGAAGACTGAAACTTGAGATATGTATTAGGCTGTTTCAAATCCAAACAAGGAACTTTGGACACTAATACAGAGAAAGAGTGACAAGGTCTAGCACTAACTAACCACACTCAAAAAAAAAAAAAAATCTCCTTTCTACTTGGTCTCATATACCTTAATGTAATAACAGGATTAACAGCCTCATAATCCACATAGGATCAGAAAATTGAATCTCCTGTTTCAAATCCAAACAAAAAACTTTGGACACTAATACAGAGAAAGAGTGACAAGGTCTAGCACTAACTAACCACACTCAAAAAAAAAAAAAAATCTCCTTTCTACTTGGTCTCATATACCTTAATGTAATAACAGGATTAACAGCCTCATAATCCACATAGGATCAGAAAATTGAATCTCCCTCCATCTTCTCCTCTCCACAATTGACTCATAAATTCAAAATGAAAAAATAGAACCACAGGACACCTCTGGATCAACTACGAACCTGCCTCAGTTTATCCAAATAAAAGACGAATAGCAAGCATTAGAAGAACCAGATTGCATTCAGATGATTCAATTCCTGTACATACTTCATCCAAACAGGATGGATTTCATATATACAAAACTAGAAGTACAAAGAGTTCATAAAGTCATTCAAACAAGCTCAAAAACCTCATAGGTAGCTGGTGAGATTTGTTGGTGCAGAGTTTCCTTCCGAAGCATGGTAAGAGATTACATCCGGAAAAATCACTGCTGCAACAACTTAACTGAGGAAGCTCTTTCAGTTCCGATCATTTTGTTTCCCCTCTTAATCCAACACATGGAAAAGACCGGAAAATAGAAGATAAAGCCATAGCAGCATACAGGAAAAGTAAAACTTGGTTGGCAATGACTGGGTTGCAACAGCTGCCAACAAAGGATTGTCCCATTCCCATCTGCAAATGGCAATGTTGAGAACTAGGAATCCTTAGCCAACATCTACACGAATGTCAAAATATAGCTGCACTGAATGGAATGTCATTAAATACTAATTTCTAATGAGAGATGAATAGTGCTAATACATTCCATTTTGATTTCACCTTGCTTCGTATGCTTTGTTCCTATGTAAAAGGAAAGAAAGACATCTAAACAAAATATTGTAGAAGCAACTAGATCATAGTTTCACCACATAATAACATTGACATTAATAAACTCAATTAAGCTTTCCAAAGAACACTGTTAGTCAAAATTCAATAGAAAGATCAATCGTAACAGATTCTTGCAATCCAATAAGAGATTAGCACTATTATGTGCCTAGAAAATACAATTATCAATAGAAAGGTGCTTTTACTGCTCCAAATAGACAAACAAAACTATCTCACCATATCTTAAGAACCACAGAAATAAACATAACACAGTCATCATAGTACTCAGGAGTCAGGCTGCAGAACTTTCATAGCTAATTCACTTCTATATGAAGTTTACTGAGATGGACTAAATTCTGATCACAGTAAAATCACAGCTCAGCTTGGCAAAGTAGTATAATTAACTTCTCTAGAACCAAAATGTAAAGAACAGCGACTTGAGGGAGCACATCTTTAAAGAGGCCAGATCAATGGTCCAGAAAACAGGGGAAAAGAAAAGCCATACACAAACCATTGTGGTGGTAAAAAGAAGGGGATGCCAAACATCGATTAATCAAGAAAGGGATTTAAAAAGACTCCAATTTTCAAGAACTTCCACTTAACAAACCTTTACTGATCCCCTGGACCTTTCATGGCTCCTTCAAGTTGGATTATTCTTGAAACTCCAATCAGCACTATGCTAAGCACCTCACTCAACCCTCCTTCTTGGCCTAGTTACAAAGTTCATACATCTAGGTAATCATCCTATTCAGCAACAGAGGCAAAGAATAAGCAGCTAGTGAATAGAAACATATCACATAGATAAAAACATATGTCACAGAGTGAGACAACCAACAGCCTGACCAACATTAACACCATGCATAAATCACAGCAACCATCAAATGGAATGTAGGAGACTGCCAATGCACACACGCGTGCATAAAATGATCAACTTCAGAAATGCAAATAGTTTCGAGAAGTGCCATAATGCCATTAAATATTGTTGATTATTCAAAAGGTGAGAAATTTGTATTTAACATTAAACAAAGTGTATGGCAGGAAATATAGAGAAAACTACTCATTGCCTTAACACTAGATGATAGTCTTATGACATTCAAGAAAAAGGAATGTGAACTATTATTTAGGGAATTTAGATAACATACCTACTCTTCCTTGTGAGATAAGCATAATAATGAACCACATATCCAATAGAACAAAGCATAAGTATACCAAGTTCAACATGCCTTCACGTGCAATAAGACCTTCGTACCCCCACTAATAGAAAGTCAACAAAACTTCAAATACTAGTTCAATTTCTACCTTGGAATCCATTTTTGAATTGCTCAATTTGCTACAGTTACAAGTAATCATAAAGAGGAAATAAAAAATGACCCCCAAAAAAGTAGATTTATCCAAAATTTCCATTGAATTATTTGCCTATCCAAACACCCAATTTAACAAACCAAATGCCTTGAACCTTAACCAAACGAGAGATGTTGAACAATAGCAGCACTATCACGCATACTTTACAGATGAACAAATGGGTCCAGGAAACTATGTGACCTACCTAAATAGAATTATTAGAAAGATATTTAGATTCTCGTGTATGACTAAGAAGACATGTTGCAAAAAGAATACGGCATACACCCTGATGATATCCAAATGAAGTCTGTAAATTGAAATTTTCTACAAAAGTTCATTTAAAATCTAAAAATAAATGCTCAGAAATAATTATTTTTCTGTCACATCATTGAGATTTGCCTTGAAGAGAGTCCTCATTCTAGCTTGTTACCATGTAAAGCCTCATATCAAATTACTAACAGCAGTCGAATCAAAACATAGAAGGGAACTAGTGTTATAAGCATAGTTATCAATCTCATCCCGACAAACGTACCTGTTTTTGCCATCAGTACAGGACGTACCGGTATATTCCGACATACCATTTCGATTTTATCACTATAAATTTATATATTATTAGTAGTTTTGAATTTATAAGTCTCTTTAAAAATAAATAAAAAACAACATTCCCAAATGTATTTAGTTACTTATTAACTATTTTATTAGTCTTTATAAAATATACCAATTTTACTTTTAAAAATAACACTTTTAGTATGCCAAACCAAACCAAACTAAGCCTTAAGTCCCATCAAATGAGATCGGCTACATGAATCTTATCACTTTTAGTATGCATTAAAAAGTAATGTTTAATTAGATTTATGAAACATACCACTTCTTAGCATGTAACAATTTAAAGCACTATAAGAAATACATTCGTACATTTAACTAATTCATTAGTAGAACAACATATCCTTCACGGGACAGAATATTAGACAACCAAGAAATAACATGTTCATAAAATTAGTATAGGTGAGATGAGAATGCATAAATGAATGTGTAGTAAAGGGTGAGCAGCGGATATACCGATCTGCCCAAACCGACCGAACCGAACCAACCCAATCCGCCGCATTTTGGATGAATGCGTGATGATGAGCAGAAGGTTGCGTATTGATTTTTTTTCAATCCGCCTAGTTTTGGATGGATGGCGGATTTCAAATTCCTTTGGCCGCAACCGAACCGCCAAACCGCGAGCACTCCTAATAATTTGTAAGACTTTGGCTGTGTTTGGTTGTGTTTCCAAACAATGATTCAACACCCATATTCCAATATGATGTTTGGTTGGAATTCTTAAATCATATTTCCACAACTCTGCTGAAAACTCTATCTAGGGCGCGTTTTTCAAAAAAAAAAAATTTCAAATTTGGCCTAAACGGTCATCCGGCAGGTTGACCGGAACAATGGATTTTTTTTTTTTTTTTTTTTTAATGCCATTTGAAATGGCGTTTCTACTACCAACCAAAGCCAACCCACACAATGACACACACACCAATGGCCACACCCACAACACTCAAGCATTGAAATAATATAATTTTTATATAAATTGTAAGTTTTTGTATCAAATATCATATGTCACATCAAAAATTCTCCACTCAATTCAAAACTCTTTTCAAAACTCTTTTACCAAACAAATTTTTCACACTCAAATCATAATTCCAAAACTCACAAACTCAAAATACAACTCATACTCTCAAATCATATTTACAAAGCTCTACCAAACGCAACCTTTGTGTTTTCAATTGAAAAAGAGTATAAATATTCTGTTGAAAAAGAGTTTTCAACTTAAATAAATTTTTTTAATTGAAAAAAAATAAATGTATTATTTATCTATATTTTTTTATTTTTAAATCCAACTCTAAAAATAATAAATAAAAAAAGATCATATATGCTGGTTGATTTTTATTTTCAAAAACACATATAGATGTAACAATACAGAGGCAAACAATTTCTACTACTGCTCTGTTCATGGTTTTGGTAGTTTGAATTGTTTTTATATTTTAAGAATCACAGATTGTAGTACTTTATATAATATTTTATATGGATAAGGCATATTAACTCTAAAAATAATAAATAAAAAAAAGATCATATATGCTGGTTGATTTTTGTTTTCAAAAACACATATAGATGTAACAATACAGAGGCAAACAATTTCTACTACTGCTCTGTTCATGGTTTTGGTAGTTTGAATTGTTTTTATATTTTAAGAATCACAGATTGTAGTACTTTATATAATATTTTATATGGATAAGGCATATTGTGATTGTAATATTATGCAGTGACTGTAATAATTTTTTTTTTTTTTTTTGAGAAAGTGCACAAGTTGAATTATGTTAAAAATTTATAAAATTTTAAACCACCAAACGGATTTGCATCTATCCACCAATCTGTTCAATCCACATCTGTCGGATTGGCAGACGAATGCGAATTGATTTTTTCCAATCCGCCAATCTAGCGGACAGATGGCGGATTGGAGGTTCCGCGGTAGCCTGTGTTACATGGACTCGGCACTTTGGGGCGAAGTACCCGTGTCGACACGACACGACACGGGTGTGGGATCTGAGTCGGATTCGCCTCTTCACTCTCGGACACGGCTCTTTACAGATAGCAAAAGAAATGAAAGAAGAGAAAGGAAGAGAGAACTTGGTCGCTGTTGGCTTCGATCATCGATTACGATTAGGGCTCACTATTGATCACGATCGTCTTCATCTCTGAGGGCTTTGATCATCTTCGTCACTCTCTTCTCTCACTGTCAATCTCGATCTTGATTGTCTTCGTCTCTCTCTTTGTCTCTATGTTTCTCTCTCTTCGTCTCGTCTCTGCGCCTCTCTCTCTTCATCTCTCAATCTGTTCGTTCTCTCTTCGTCTCTGTTTTAAGTGATCATATATAATATAACTTATATATATAATATAATTTATAAATTATAATTTTTATCATATATAATAAAATATCTAATTATTATTTCTTAAAATATCATATATAATAATAATTTTTCATATTGCATTTACATTAACATATAATATTATAAATTACATTAATATAATAATATATAATATTATTCATTCAAAAAAAATTATATAATATAATATATCATAAATAATATAATTTTTATGTCTAAAATAAAAATAACTTATTTTATCATATATAACATAATTTATTTTATATCTAAAATAATTTGTATTTGTTATTTATATAATATAACTCATCTACATATAATAAATATTTTTTTTTTAAAAAAAATTATTTAACGTATCCTCGTACCCGTATCTAAATTTGGACACATATCCACGTATTCTCAATTTTTAATTTTGAAGTATCTGACCCCTAGATACGCACCCGCATCCGCACCCGCACCCGATACCCGTTCTCGAGTCCGTGTAACATAGGTGGCAGCAACCGACCCACATCGACCCTATTATATTTGTGAAATGGTAGGAATAACACCAATTGAAAATAAGTTGAGAAAAATAGGTAAAGATAGTTTGGTCATGTACAACGAAAACCTATACATACAACAATAAGAAAGAGTGATTTGATTACCATGAATGAAAATATTAGGGAGAGAGGAAGACCTAAATTGACAAAGGATATGATAGTAAAAAAAGATATAAATTTATTTAATTTAACTAAGCATTTAGCCTTTTGACAAAGAAAAATGGTGAAAACGATTCATGTAGCCAATCTCACTTGAGTGGGACACAATGATTAATTTGGTTTGGATTGGTTTGGTTTGGTTTGGTTATTAGTAGAACATTGTGTTAGTGATTCAATGCAAGACATAATCCTTGTGACTTTTTGTCATAATATATAAACTAATATGGCCATCTTAAATACTGCTAAGTTTAATACTTGAGTAACCAATAAATAAAAGACTTGCTTATCAAAAATTGAAAAATAAAAAAGAAAGGCTATTCTTAGATGATATTGGGCAAGATTCTTACGTGCGGCGCACACAATACCATGTCCACATAATTTGCTTTGGTCAATGGAGATGGAGTCCAACAGGCAAAAGAGCAAAAACTCTCTTCTTTTGATCTAACAACAATGAAAGATGTGACCATTACTTTTTAATACAATAATCAAGAGGGTGTAATTGAATTTAAGGGGGAAAAACCTCAAAGCATGTTGACTGGTACTGGTCAGAACACAGTCCAGAATGACCGAAATATCACGAAAAAGCTGGGACATGCTAAAACAAGTGGGAAAATCGGGCAAGATGGAACAAATGTCTACTTTTTTGTTTTGCTGGAACAGTATATTCCACGCTCTACTGGTTGGTACGCAACAGTTTTACTAACTATGGTTATAAGGGAGGTACTTTCATGGACGGCGCAACCTTTCAAACCCCTCCACGCAATACATTGCAAAAGAGGACAGAGGGGGCACACTAAGCAATAACTGTCTCCACTCGTTAAAAAAAAACCGTTATCATTATCGTTATGGTTCAACCTACAGGAATGCATTACAATTTCAGTTATATCTAGAATCTAAAGTAACAAGACTACAAAACTGGATGACTGTTACATAATTAGTACATGCACTACCTATGACGCACGGACACCTCTCCGAGGGCTCCGTACCAGTGTCGGACACGGACACGCGTCAGACACGCGGTGGACACGTGTCCGACACGCAGCAGAGAGTGTCCCATTTTTTTTCCATTTTTTTTTTTTTTTTTTTATACATCCGGACACGTTGTGGACATGTTTGGACACTTTGGGAACACGTTCGGGGGTAATTTCATAATTTATAAAACTTTTTTTGGGGTCGATTTGTAAAAAACAAAAATAGAGCAATGTCTGCCTAATTCGATTAGAATAGAAGAGAAAGGGCGAACAGAAGAGAAAGGGAGAGAAAGAGAGGACCTGGTCAATTTTCAGTGGTCTCTCGTCGTCGCTCGTCATTCGTCGTTGGTCCTCGTCGGTCCTCGTAGCTCGTCTCGTCGTAGCTCGTTGAGGTATGCTGCTCTTCTCCATTCTTCTTCTTCTTCGTTCTTCGATCTTCTTCTTCATCCTTTTTCTCCGATCTCTCTCAGTCGCTGTCTCTGTCTCTCTCTCCTTCTCCCTCTCTCTCTCTCTGTCTGATTTTATTTGTTCTTTTATTTTTTTATTTTTCCTTTATATAGTGAGTGATGTTGATCCCTCTCTCTCTCTCTCTCTCTCTCTCTCTCTGCCTCTGTCTTCTATTTTTTTTTTCTGATAATATATATAAATATATATTATATACTAATATATATACATATATATTTATATACTAATATAGATATATATATTTGAACAAAAAAATCTTTTTTTTTTCCTCTTTTCTTTTTTTCTTTTTTTTAGATATTATTATTTGCTTAAATAAATTATTTTTATTTATAGAAAAATTTTAATTTGTGAATAATATTTGATATTAAAATAAATAAATCATATTTATATTTTTTAATTTTACATATAATAAATAAATAATATTATATATATTGAACGTGTCCCTAGCGTGTCGTGTCCCCTATTTTTTGAAAATTTGTGTTTTCCCATATCCGTGTTGTGTCCGTATCCGTGCATCATAGTGCACTACAGTCCAATACAAAAATTCTAAATATTTCTCATTTGTTACAGAACATTGAATGGGCAGTCACAGCTGTCACACATCGGTATGCATTGTTATGCCAGATTGTAAACGAGCTTTTCCCGTGTCCGTGTCGTGTCCGTGTCCGTGCATCATAGTGCACTACAGTCCAATACAAAAAATCTAAATATTTCTCATTTGTTACAGAACATTGAATGGGCAGTCACAGCTGTCACACATCGGTATGCATTGTTATGCCAGATTGTAAACGAGCCGAGTCAAGCCGAGCTTTTGAATGTTCAAGCTTGTTTATTAAGAATTAGTCGCTCGAGCTCTAGTTGAGCTTAAAAAATCGAACTCGAGCTCGGCTCGTCAAATATTTGTTGAACTCGAGCTCAATTGCTCGATTACATAAACAAGCCGAGTTCGAGTTCGAACTCGAGCTTGAGCTTGAAAAAAAAGTAAATTATTTATTTATTTATTTATTAAGATAAAAAAAAATACAAAATTATGAGTAAAATATATAATAATGCTTATATTAATAATAAATTTTATCAATCAAATATGTAAATTTACACAAACACCAAACATAAATTTAAAAAAAAAAGGATTATTGAAAATTTATTTAATATATTATTAAAAACAAAAATTTATTTATTTATTTATTTTTATGTTCAAGAGCCTTATTGAGCCAAGCATGGAGCTACTTGAGCTTGGCTCAATTAATAAATAAGCCTAAAAATTGAGCTTGAGCTCATTCATTTAGTAAACGAGTTGAACTCAAACAACCTTTAAATGAGCCGAGCTCGAGCTGTTCATGAACAGCTCAGTTCATTTGCAACCCTACAGTTAACAGAGTTATGAAATCACACAGTTCAACCTACATAGTTGAATTACAATTTCAGTTCCAGAACTTAAAGTAACAAAACGACATAATCGGATGGCCATAATGTAACTATTGGTACATACAACACGACAAATCTGAAGAATATCCTATTCTTAAACCTTGTTACAGAACCACGCAAGTGCATGGCATATGTAATGCATGTGACAGCTTATTCATTGCTCCATAATGGCATTTTGGCGCTGGGACTCTATAAAGGCAAGATTTGGCCACTTCTTCCCCTTCTATTTCTAATCCCTAGTTACATTTTGGGATAGAGCCAACGCTTGCAGTGGGGGTATCAAGGTTTCCTACATGAGCATATGACTATTAATATCCTGATCTACACAAAAATAAATTAATTAAGAAAGAGAGAGAGAGGGAGTAGTGCAAATAGCAGCCAATTGTCTCCATAGTAGTTTGATTACTTGCCACTACTACACAAATGCACTTCACAATTTTTTCTTATTGGGAAAAAAATATGGTAATTCACCAGGTACTTTAAAATGGTAGAAATAAAACCATTACAATTGGAGCTCATGAAAGATACTTCATTAAAATAGAAAGAATGGCAATAGAAAGTAGTAAACAATGAAATGAACATCAAAGGGAGGAAGGAACATGTAAATGAAGTCTTAGAAAATTTATTCTTAAAAACACAAGCAGAAAACTCTTGAAATCATTCAATAGAAATCCTGTAAAACAAGCACTCTATGAACAGGAGCTATTAATCAGAAGCAAGTCTAATAGATCACCCAGAAACTAAGACATGATATAACAAGAGTCCCAAAAATAATGAAACTAAACCAATAGTTTTACATGACAACAATTACATGGTAGAATGACAAATTTGCTTCTCAGCCTCATGTAAACGCTAAAGGTTTCATCCTGATGTATATGTTTCACCGAAAAGATGGCTGCGGTATGAAATAGCGCATTGAATAACACAACTACTGCCAATAAATAGGTAACACAGTTGACATTGAAATGAAGCCACAAACAAAGCAGATGAAGAATATGAATCAAATTTAACAATCAAAAAACAAGAAAGAAACAAATAAATAATGTCTACAAGCTAATGTAAATAAAAACTTAAAAGATATTCGGTTACCCAGAAAGCAAGTTGGGCTTACCTCAGTGCATCCCATTCCCAACACACTGAATTGCACCACAAATTAAAAAACCACCAACTCCTTGAAACTTGGCTAGTTACAAATACGAAGCTTCCCTGTCCATTCATCAGCCACCCCATAATCAAGGCTCAGCTCTCTCAAAGGAGGGATGTTCTCCATTGCAAATAGCATAAGGTGAGGGAATATTACACTATTGTGGTCATATAGCACAAACTGCACCAGAACATTAGGACTCGAACTGTGGCTCATGTAACAAGCAACATTCCTCATTCTTGATACATCCATTGCAAAATCCAAGGGAGGAATTGATGGATATGACGGACGCACATAATCAGTAAATATTTGCGATAAATCCCCCCATTCAGACCATCTTTCAGCAAACCGATTTGGATACACCAAACTATCTCCATTCATTGTAAAAATTTGGGATTGCTCTCTAGTGAGAACAATTCCAGCATACTCACAAATAAAAGAACCAGCTTGAATCAAGTCAAGTGACCTAACCCCCCAACCAGTTTCCCTTGACCTAAACACTTCAAATCTATTCCTCACCCCCTTTTGGCTCACACGATTCCGGCAAGAAGGGGGACAACGACAACCAGTCCCACATTCAAATACCAATGGTTTGCCTCTCACGAGAAGCCCATTTTGATCATAAGCGAACTCACCCCCATTTTTCATAGCGCAGGCACAATCATCCATACATAGAGAAACACAATCACACCCATTACTGCTTCCTCCATGATACGCATAAGGAGGAAATACAGTTGTCACAATATACTCATAATACATTGGATCATGGTTACTATCTATATCGTTATACAACAGAACCGGGACATTTTCCTTCTTCATTGAAATATCCAGACTAACGTAACCCACCGGTCTGACGGACAATGGATTAGTCCTCAGGTTCTGAGCAAACCTCAGAATAGCACTACCCATTGCAGGTTGATCAGCCATTCTTATGATTTTATACTTATATACTCCAAAACCAGACTTACCCACATCAAACCATGAATCAATAATTTTATATAACCCATCATAAACATAAACCTTACCACTGGCACTGCCCTCATATTTAAAACCCCGAATCACCCTCACTTCGATACCATAATGCATGCTTCGCTCCAATGCAAGGTTCCCACCTTCCAATTTCTGATGAACACATTGCCTCGAATGCTTGTCCTGCCCACCGTGACCCGTATATATGATCACATCCCCGGCATCTTCATCGTCTTCGTACCCACCAGAGACAATAATACTGGTCGCAATTGGCTCCTTATTCGAGCTGTGACTCGCCGGGACGTAATCAATTCCAGCCTGAGGTTGTCCATGCAAGCCAACAACACACAATTCCATTCTAAAGAAGAATAAATCACCAATGTAAACCCCAGGGATCGAACCCACGATTCGCTTATCGCGATTAAGCCACATTCCACGGTCTCTGAGGACCGCCGAGGCCTTCAAATCGCCGCGAGCCCGTCTCGTGAGCCCTAAAGCTCGACGCTTTTCATCCTCAGCCATTGCAAAAACACGAAGCGAATCGTATATCATTCTCGTTTTCCTCACCACGTCTCGGAAGTACCTCTGGTCCTCAACCCCCAAATCCATAACCCGAACTAGCTCCGACGATCGCTGCTGATACTTCCGCTTCGGCGGCGCCACGGCGGCGGACAACTGGTTCTCCGGCACCGGAACGATCGCTTGAGAATCGGGATCCACGAATTCGGCGTCGTTGTTCTTCTGCTGCGAGAACGCGGTCCGAAAAAGCTCCGAAATTCGGTAGAACTCCGAGTACACATTGTTCTCTTCCGACGAATTCTCAGGCGCTTGAGTCAAATCATTGAAATTCGAGCTCGGTTCAGTGAAATCATTGAAAGAAGGGTTAGGGCTCGAAAAGTAAGCTTGAGCTTGGGGTAGAGGTGATTCGTCGAATGGCTCGAGTTTCGGCTCTAATTTGGGAATTATGAGGGGTGTGTGGGTGGAGGCGGCGGCGTAGTTGTAGTGGTGGTGGCGGAGGTGGTGGTGGTGGGATCAGGGAATAGGTTGAGATCTGGAAATTGGATAAGAGAACCCATTTCTTGTTTTTCTAGAGAGAGAAAGAGAAGGTAAAGATGGGTTCTTGGTCATGAGAGAGAGAGAGAGAGAGAGAGAGAGAGAAGGGATTTTAGGGTTTTGCAGTGAGAGCTAAAGAAGGTGTGTCCATGGAGGAGGGAGAGAGAGAGAGAGAGTTTGTTGTCAGAGGAAGTTGGAAATGGGTGTGCGTGTATGGAAGTAAAACTGTTAGGCTCCGTTTGGTGGAGTTTTCAAAATCTAGTTCCACACTCACTTTTGAGTGTGGTGTTTGTTTAGGGTTTTCAAATCATAATTCTACACTCATTTCTCAAAACTCAATTCAAAACATAATCATTACTTTTCAAAACTCATAACCAAACACATAATTCAAAACTCTTTTCAAAACTCCATTCAAATCAATATTTTAAAAATATTTTAATTTTGTTAAGATTTTAAATATTTTAATATTTAAATATGTTACGATTTTTTTAATTTTTTAATTTTTTTAATTTTTTGAATATTTTTAAATATTTTAATTTTTAAATATTACAATTTTAATTTTTTAAATTTTAAAATATTTTATAAAAATAAATTCAAACTCTATTTTATAAAAATATTTTTAAATATTTTAATTTTTTTGTTATGTATTTGGTTACGATTTGAGTGTAGAGTTGTGAAAGTAGTATGGAGTTTCGAGTTATGTGTTTGGTTATGAGTTTTAAAAATAATTTTTTAATTGAGTTTTGTTTTATGTGTTTGGTTACGATTTGAGTGTAGAGTTATTTTTAAATTTAAAATATTAACATTTAAAATTATTTAAATTTTTTACTTATTAAATTTTTTAGATTATTTGAATTATTTAAATATTTATGATTTAAATTTTTTGAATATTTATTTTGAAAAAAACTTATTTCCTTTGTAGTATTTTCAATTAATTTGTGTTTCTCAAAAAAATTTAAGAAAAATTCTCTACAAATAAATTTTTAAAAATAATCAAATCAAACAAATTTTTTAAAATTTTTTTTTTCAAAACTTGTTTGGTTTACAAGTTTTCCAAACAAATCTTTCTTTCATACACATCAAATTAATTACTTTTTTCAAAACTCTCTCTCAAAATAATTTTTCAAAACATCTTTTGAAAAAAATCAAACCAAATAAATTTTCGTACTTTTTATTTCAAAACATGTTTCTCATTATTTCAAAACATGTTTCTCAAATACAAACCATTTTATGCATTTTTAATTATATTATTTTTTTAATTATGATTAATTTTTTTTAATTATGATATTATTTTAATTGATACTCATGAGTTTTTTAATTATTTCTCATGTTATGTTTAGAGAGAAATTTACAATGTGCACCATTTTCTATGGTATATATTACAAAAAAGTTATATTTTTTATAATGAACGTTATGATTATTGTAATGTGTGTTATGACATTTTGTAGTAAAGTTATCAATAACGAATTCATTATGTGCACCCTAAAATTAGAATGATAATATTATGATATTTTGTAATTTTTGTTATGACACTTTAAGATTTTGTTATGACATTTTTCAGTAAAAAAAAATTATAACTTTTGTAGAGAAAAAGCTATGACACTTTGAGATTTTGCTATTAATGAAATCTTAAAATATGTTATTTTGGTAACTTTTTATAAAAAGAATATGTGTAAAAAAATATAAATAGTGATGTGATAATTTTTAGTGACTTTTTAATATTAGAACTAAAATTAAAAGTTGCCAAACGAAATCAAGTAACTATTATTGTATTATTGAAATGATTTTATTTTTATTATATGTCACATTAATTAGTAAAATAAACATCCGCAATATTTAATTATTTATATAAAGGTTTTTCAAATAAATGTTTTCAGTGGACCGTTTTTGCACTTTGAGTTTTGTTAGTTTTTGCATTTAAAAAAATTATGGCAACTAACACCATCTCCAACGGTGAATCGGATTGATCATTAAATTTAAATTTGATGAAAAAAAATCACTTTTATCTCTCCAACAGTTTCACCAAAATGATATCAAATTGAATGGGCCAAAACTTTTACCAAATTGAGGAGTTGGGTCAGATTTCACCCAAACACTGTGTGTTTACGTTGGAGGTGGATCCCAACGGACAACTAACTAGACGTCAGACTGATTGTCCCACCTGTCGTCCGTGAGATACAAAAAATGCAAAGCTACAATGTAGTGCTTCAACAGTTGGTTGGCTTGCGAACTACTTCAAAATTTGTTTTCAAATAGCAAAAAAGCAGCAAGGTCTGGAATTAAGAGTTGCAGAGATAGAAGGAGAAGGAAGATCGGAGATGGAGTTGCAGAGATTTAAGAGTGTTTACCGTCTCATTCACACTAATTTCTTTGTTATTAGGAATTTTCCAGATGTTTTATTGGAATAGTTTTTTGTGATCAAATTTAATGTTTGATGGAATTTTTGTTCTTCTCTCTTTTTCTCTTTGGTTTTTTGGATAGGTATTTGGGAAAGGCTGTGACTTTGATACTTTTAATGTCATTACTAAACCAGGTAAAAGATCACTATAACTAAATATCTTAATGAACTAACTAGCTCAATATTACAGCTGATATTTGTCTTAAATTTCTTGATTCTAATGGTGGATGTGGTGAATTTGAATTTATTGATTAGCAAGGGCCTCTAAAATCAATTTATATTTGCAGTATTTTGTAGGATATGAGTCTTGAATTTGACACACTTCCCGAGTATAAAGAATTAGTATGTTAGCTGAGTGAAGATAGTTCCCTTCGTAGGAGTTTTGGTGCTATAATTTATGCAACCCATGTATTTTGGTTTTAGGAGATAGTTCTGGCACAAAATGAATTCGAGGCATCTTTCCGGAGGAAGCATGCTAGGAGAATGAGAGAGGTCAATCAAGGGATTAGAAAGACTGGAGGAAGTGATGAAGACAATTTCTAGCCTCCGAATTGCCCTACAACTGACGAATTTGGAATCAGAAATGGAGGGAAAAAACAAAAAAATTCAGTTGGCTTGACCCCGGTCATCCCCTATCTTTTGATGCAAGCTACAATGTAACCGTTGGTGTTACCCAAAAGACAACCTATCTTTTGATGCAAGCTACAATGTAACCGTTGGTGTTACCCAAAAGACAACCTAAGAAGGAGTTGAATTAAGTTTTTACAGATAAAAATAACTATAACTAGCACAATAGATAAATATAATTAATGAAATAAAAACAATAAAATCAAATGTTCTAACAATTATGTCAGTTAATGATTTTAGCACAGTGAAAATGTGAAATATAACTATGACAATGTAAATAAAATAAAGAGATAAGGGAGAGAGAGACAAACAAATTTATAGTGGTTCTGTAGGAACCCACACTTTATGTCCTCATCATGTTCATGAGCATCAGTAAGATTATGACTTGTTTAGCTTGCATGTGTATGTTGTGATTTGTTTCGCTTGAGCTAATGCGATCCATGTCTTGATTTGAAGCCTTGTGATTTGTCTAAGTGTAGTGTGCTTGTCTTGTTTCTCCCTTAATGCGAAACCTAGGTTACGCCTTGCTTGAGTTATACTAGCCGATGTTAATTATGACTAGCACAATAGATAAATATAATTAATAAAATAAAAACAATAAAATCGAATGTTCTAACAATTATGTCAGTTAATGATTTTAGCACAGTGAAAATGTGAAATATAGCTATGACAATGTAAATAAAATAAGAGATAAGGGAGAGAGAGACAAACAAATTTATAGTGGTTCAGCTTCAACTCGGCTTACGTTCACTCTTCAAGCTTCACTTGAGATTTTTCACTATACTCTAACTTCACAGGGTACTAGCAACATTTTCACAGATATAACAATCCTTCACAAATTTTACACAGATTTTCTAAATCACGAACACTGAGTGTATTATACTCTTACAAGGTTGAAAAGAATGTGTTTTTGCTTTCACAGAAAGTTACAAAGTATTATCTCTCAAAGATAGATATAAAAATGAAACTCTGATTTTTTTGTAATCCTCACATAGAAAAGATGGGTTTAAAGCTATACGTCTCAGTGTATAATTTATGAGAGATGGTGTAAATAAAAATTGAAGAACACTTCTCAGAAAATTTTTCAGAGAATAGATAAGAGTAATTTTAGATCAAAGAGTATTTTCTGATTTTTTTTTTTTTTTGTGTGTGTAACTTGTTTACATTAGAGGCTTTGGTATATATAATGAAACTTATAGCCGTTTATAGCCGATGTATTCATTTAAATTTATAACTGTTTATAACCGTTATATTCATTTGAATATCTTCCACTCCATCATTACTAATTTGAATATCTTTCACTCCATCATTACAAATTTTAATATCTTCAACTTGAACCTTTTGAACTGTTGTTGTGCTGGGCTGTTTCAACCTCTATTTTTGGGCTGTTTGAACTTCTGATTTAATCAAATATTAAATGCATTCTAACAACATTTAGGATAAAGATTTAGGTAAGAAATAATGAGACAAAATAAATTTTGATTTTATTTTTCTCTTTCAAATAAATTAAAACATAAAATCATCAAAATAAATTTTGATTCTATTTTTCTCTTTCAAATATATTAAAACATAAAATCATCAAAATAAATTTTGATTTTATTTTTCTCTTTCAAATAAATTAAAACATAAAATCATCAAAATAAATTTTGATTCTATTTTTCTCTTCCAAATATATTAA